GGGCTGCGATGTAGGACCCGGACAGCGGGCTCTCCCTCACCATAGCGCGGATCGTGCAGCGGCTGAAGGGCTCCAGCCTCCACTCTCAACTGGAGAGACAGGCCCGGGTGAGCCCCGTTCGGGCGCTGTGCCCCTAGGCCGCCTCCCTTTCCCGCTGTGTCCGTCCGTCCCGCTCCCCCCCTCCCCCCTCCCGGCGCTTTGTCGCTTTGTTCCCGGCCCTCGCCTCTCGCCCAAGCCCGTGCGGCCTCGGCCGGGGCAGGGGGTCCGGAACATGGCCTGGCCTGGCCTGGCCTCCCTTCCCCTCCCTCCCTCCGTGACGGGGCCGGAGAGCGGTCTGCTTGGTTTCTAGAGTTGTATTTATAGTTTATCCTCTTGGAACTGAAGGATTTCGCAGTGAATATGAAACCTATCCTTTTGAAATCTCAGTGCTTCAAATAGTTTCTAAAATGAATCACTTTGTCTTTTAATCTCTAATTTGGAAAGCTTTAAATACCGCCTTCCCTGCCCCGCCCCCGAGTGACCCTGAGAAAATTAGAATGGTGAAAAGAAGTGAAAATGAAAAACGCACATGAAACGACATTTTTGTAGCTGGGGAAACAGTTGCGTTTTTATATTTAGTAACTTACCTGCTCTTGAAGCCAGATTTTCATATTTCAGCCGAACTTCATTTAGGATGTTTCAAATTAAAATTGTGTCAGTTTTCATGACCATAATAACAGAATAGCTGTGCTATAGCGATTATTGTGCATTACTAAAATATTTTGAGTTAGATTTTATAAAAACCTGGGGTTTATTTTTTTGCAAACAGTGCTTAAAATGGTACAGGGTACATTGTCTTAGGATATAATGTCTATTATCTGCCTTAGTTTCAGTTGGTTTTTAAATGAAAAATTATTTTCTTCTCTGTCCCTGAAGCCTTCCATAGCAGGTGACATCACCGTGTATCTTTTATGTTTTTTTGTTTTGTTTTAAATTTGCTGATTTGGTTTCTAAATGCTTATTTAAATGTATGTCTCTTTTGCTTCTGTTGACTGAATGCTCTCTAAATATGTGAGTAAGCAAATGTGCATGACTTGAAGAGGGCTGCAGTTATAAAAGAGTATAGATGTTGGGTTCTGCTAAGTGTTGGGGAATTTGGTATCCCAAATAGGTAGCCTGATACAAGGTGTGGAGAGTCAAGTTCAAGACCTTGTCCTCAATACAGGAGGTGAACAGGACCCTTTTGACAACTTACTCAGCTGGTTATAATAAAACCTGTATGTACTCATGTCTACATTCATTCTTTTGTCTCGGTCTCCTGTGAGGCCTGATTTCAGTCATTTGATACTTTCCATGTTTGTTTTGAAACATGAGGAAGCTTGGCATCCTCAGGACTTGGCAAGGTGTTTAAATGCTGTTGGTGTATGGCTATTTTGTACAGCCCTTTCGTACACGTGGACACTCTGAAGACCTTAGCAGTGCCCTTCCTTGGTGGTGTTTGATGTCTGAAAGGGCAGTTAAATGCCTAAATCCCTCCCTGACCCTATAGCATATCAATTTTCTCAATACAAATGGAAACTGCATAATCAAAGCATAAAGGTCACCTATAAAACAGTGTAATGACCACAGCCAAATCTGTCATGTTAGCTTTGCAGAACACTGTTTTACAAATTTCTTGGAGAAGAAAAAAAAAGTGTATATATAGGTCAGAAGATTATTCTAGTCCATATGAAGTGCTAAGGGGAAAGGAAATAAACAGGGTAATACGTTCCTGTTGATTCTTAGAGGAAGTATTTGAAGAGTTTGTAATAGAGCTATAGTTCAGTGTAGTGATCTGAAAGACTGGCAAGTTTTTAGATACATCAACTACAGGATTTCTCAATGCAAGGAGTCATCCTTTGGAGCTTGTAGTTTAAATTAATAGGGCCAAATAATAGTTTATTAGGGCCATCTTTGTCAAGAATTTGTATGATATTCTCCCTGATCTTAATTTTTTTTTAATTGATCTTGTATGCATTTATGTTCTTGTACAGTATGGACTTGTTTTATTTATAATGCTCATATGGTCATATTATTGCTATACTATGCGGTTGCAAAGGCCCTATTAGTGAGTTCTTTATCTTTGTCCATCCCTCAGCAGCTGTACAGAATGTTTAGGAATTTTGCTGTACTCTGTATTAAATTAATGATTGATTTCCTTCCCATTACATGAGGTATTTCTAAAGTTACATTGCCAAATATGAAGTCTTTGCTATTGCTATTCATCATACCTGAACTCCAGTTTATTGATAGGACGTAGTAGGGTTTTTGTCTGCTGGTGATCAATGCTTAGTCTTCACTGGTTGCAATATTGATCTCTACGTGCTCCTTTTTCATATGATTTTTATTTTTTGGGAAGTATACTGTATTTTGAGAAATCTGTTGAACAATGCATCAGAATAAAACTTACTTACTGTTTTGGATATTTATACTACAGTTATATTTTACCTTTACAAAGATCAATGTTTATCTGTCAGTGTAGAAACTGGCATTGATGATACTCCTTTCTCAAAAATATTTATGATATCTGAAAACATGTGAGTCAGAATGGATATTAAAGTCCATTATAATACAATCTGAAATTTTTGAGAGGTCACGTAGTCTCACAAACAGTATTTCAAACTATTAACGAAAAGTCTGTTTTGTAAATTCATCTCTTCTTTTAACATCTAGGAAGGAGAGCTCAAAATGAACAGTTTCTTTCACCAGTTGATAGAATTTGGGGTAAAACGCAATATCCTGATGTTATTTGTGATAGGTGACAGAGTAGCCCTGTGGTTATGACTGATCACACCAGCACTATGCTTGGCTGTCACAGAGAGCCTGAGCTAGTGTCAAGGACTGTGATACACAATCTCTTTGAAATAAGTTTGGCGTGGGCACCAAATGATTTGCTGTCACAGCTCTAGCTCTGGGGATACCAAGATAATTACATTTTTGTCCCAAGGACTGAAGTACAGGTAGGGTCATATGCTTGTTAGTGATGATTTGGAAAATAAATGCTAGGTTGATTTTGTAGGTTGAGTTTTGATATATTGATAATGTGTCTGCAGTTAATAAAAAGAGATTAATGCAGTAAAGAGTGTAAAGGTGCCTGTCATTTGCTTTGGAATTTCTTCTGAACATATTTTGTAGGTGGTTGAAAGGAAAGAATAACACTTTAAAAGAGTCAAAATATGAGATAGTAGCCTTTCAACAGGGAGAATAGCTGCTCAATTATTGGGGTATTGGAGGAGAAATCTGATCTTGGTTTCACTGTGTTGAGTTTTAACCAAATTTGTTTGCTTTTATCTTAATTCTTCTCTTTCCTTTTTGAAATGTAACTGTTTTTAAGGTAAAAATTAGAGGTAGTTAGAAAAACTGAAATGTGGACGACATCAATCACAAAATGCAGTTTGAAAACAAAATTTTTTTTGGTAAAATCTTGTTAAAATTTTATTTTAGGGACAATCTCTGTCAGTGAACTGACAATAAAAATGGAACCGTTCAGATATATTAAAAAAGTGCTACCTTTTTAACATTTTCATTTGCAGATAATCATGTCTGCAAATCATTTTTCATTATGTTTGAAAGAAGTCAGGCTTTATTAATTAATTCAGATTAATCAATCTTAATTGTTCTCCACAAACCTCTAATAAAAATCACTCTGACTGAGTTGTCTGGAACCTCTAGTGGCCAGGGGCAAATAACAAGTAAAGTTTAAAAAACCAAACACAAAGCCAACAAACAAACAAACGCCTTAGTAGTTCATACCTAAAGACCTTTTCTAAAAACAGGAGGACTCGCAAGTCCCTCCAGGCATTTTCTGTTTAGATGTTCTTAGATCTGTTTCTTGTAGGTGTGTCTGTAGTGGGACATTTTGAAGGAGAACTTGGAAATAAACAGGTTAATGGCTGTCAAAGTAGGCTAAAAGTGGTAACTTGAGTCTAAGAATCAGCTGTGACACTCCATCCTACCCCACTCTGACAATTAAGTTTGGAGTGAGACAAGATTTTAAGAGATACCTGAAGGTATGAACAAGGTATGGAGAGGAGATGTGCTAGAATATGTCATGATCAGAATGACTGTCCAGAGGAGAGGACTCTGCCATCACTCTCTGAGCAGACATATGACTATTATCAGAAAGGTTTAAAGAAATATTAATGAAAGTCGGAGGTAAAGGTCTTCAGAAGACTTCAAATGGGGCAAAGGAGAGGAGCTTGCCTTGGGAGCACTAGGAACATTGCAGCTGGGGTATTGCCCAATTGCATGCTTCCAAAGGGAGTACAGGTAAACTTAGGATAATTTATGTGGAGTGAATGGTTTACAAGATATCTGAGGATATTATTCTCATTACATTTCTCCAAGAGTTAAAAAAAGAAATTGATACCGATTCCTTCTTAAGTAAAGGATCAAATTAAGAAGGAGAATGTTTCTGTGAAATGTACCATTTATTTAATAAAACTTAGCAAATAAATGTAGGCTCATGAGTCATCATAGATAATTAATGATTCGTTTTCATGCACTGTATTTAACAAAGGGATTACTATCCTCACCTGATAAAGCTTGTACTTTGGTTTAAATGGTTCAGCAGTAACATTTGCAGTACAGTGAATTTTAAACTGAACGCAGTTGTGTATGTGTTGATCAGATTATGGAGTTCAGAAGCAATGCAAGCTTGATTCACAAGTTATTTTTCTTTAGTAATTTATGTTATATGTCTCACCTTGTGTGTGTGTGTGTGTATTTTATTTGCAGTGCTAATTTAAATTCAAATAAAACCTAGAAAATGTATTAAAACATAAACATTATTAAAAATGTATCCTGCATATCTTGTAGGAGAACATATCATTTGAAGCTGTTTATTCCTCTGTGAGGCTAGTTGAAGCTCTCTGAACTGCTAGGTTATTTTTACTTGTATAAGGAGTTCACACTCCTTTTCTCCTTGGTGTCATTGCTGTAGAAATGTAGAAGGCTTGGAAAATTGTCAGTGTAATCAGAGTTTTACGCTTACTGAAATTTGTTTAGTTATGCTCAGAATGATCCCTCTTTCTGTTACAGAAATATATAAACCAAGACCACTCCCTTAAATCTGTAGAATTGTAAGCATTTGGAGAGTGTTTAGGTTGAAATTGTTGTGGCCATACTTGAAGTGTTTTTTATCAAGACATCTTGATCCTGATAAAATCTAGTTATGGCAGAATGGAGAATGTGAGGAAAAGGTGAATATTTTTTATCTTTCATTGAATTAACTTCTGCTAGAGTTGGACCATATTTAGGGTAGTGTGTTTTATTGTAATTTGTGAAATAATAGCAATAAAATCTAAAAACATTGTGCATTTGTGCAAAACTGTAATGAACAGTAATAAATGCTCTGAGAGTATACATACTTACCTAAAGCAAAAGAGGCCTTGAAGAGAAATTATGGTGGATAGCCTGTGAAAAGATTTAGGTTGTGTAAAGTTATTTGCAGAACTGTTTGCAGCAGGATAAAAATACGTGTTCACCTGATACAGTTCCACATTTCAATGTAGTTGGATCACTTCTCTGCAGTGTTTATTCTTGTTGCGAAAAGAAATAATTTAACAGAGAAGTTATGTTTGAACACTTTGTTCTGTCAAGCCTCCTCTTTGTACTGTGTTGCTGGTCCTCTAGCTATTTTCCTATACTTTTTTGAGTGCTGTGTCTTGATGGCTCATCTGTCCTATTTCATGATCAGTGCTGCTCCAGTCATGACGACTGTATGCCATTTCCAAATTTAGATACTAATTTGCAGATAGATTTGTCTCTGTGTTCAGTTGCACTATGAATCAATTTACTACACCCACCACCTTTTCTACCTAGCGCTGTGCTATCCTTTTGCTTGCTTTCAGCCAGATCAGTGTTGAGTGCCTGGATTTTCTTCCATCTTGGCATCCAAATACAGAAAGTGTAATACATCTGGAGTATTGCTTATGATGGTGACTGCCCAGACCTCAGCAGGATACCTTGCCAAAATCAAAGGCAAAGATGTACACAAAGGATTGCTAATGGTACGTTTCAGAAGGTTTGGCACAATTTTGAAAGTCCCCAAACTTTCTCTTCTACAGCTGAAGTACATGAGGGTGCCAAGAAATGCTGTAATGATACCTTGTTTTATGAAGGAATGTCTAACAGCCAGTTGCTTCTTGATTTTCAAGAAGCTGACCAAGATGAACATGGACACCCAGTGCTTGAACCCTGGTGTCCTATCCATAAGAATATGCACAATGCCAGTTATACTGGAAGAGAAACTGGTAGGCATTAACTTTTATCAAAAATAATTTGTTACTGCTTTCTGAAATAAGCTACATGCATCCCTGTCTCCTTTCAGGAGTCTGTGTTGGCCTGATGGAGCCGCTGAAGAGCATGACTCCTTCCCTGGTCTGGCTGTCACTCTTTGTCACCTTGTATTGCTCACACTCCTTTACTTCTTGTGATAGCTTCCTTATATGACAAGATTTTTTTTTCAAAAAAAGAAAGATACTCTTTCATCAAGATGTGTATATTGAAATTGGAGAGTCTGTAGTTCTACCTGTATGCAGCATTTTGATCATGCAGGAAATGAATTCTATTCATAAGTACAAATCTCATCAAGGTGCTTTTTTCTCGATAATCCTTAGCCAGGCATTTTTATCAGTGTAAATCATAGTAATGTTTTTTATATAAATAAAATTTTGTCAACATATTTTTCATTCTACCAAAAACTCATATGGGATGAAAATGCAAATGAGACTTAGGCAGTATGTTGTATGAAGCAGTTTACAACAAACTGTACCTAAAATATAAACACCTATATTTTGCAACTTAGTACAATACAGAGATAAGTTAGATCCATTGCTCCAAAGGGAAAATGAAAGTATGTGGGAGAGCTGGTCTAGTAAGTTTGGTATATCAGCTCTGATAAGTCTCCTTGACACCTCAGTTTAGTTCCCATGAGCACCCATATAAATTCCAAAGAGGTACCATTCTGTTAAGTTACAACAAAGCAATTCTGAAGGGATTTCCTGCTGAAATAAGTATTTTCTTCTTTGGTTATACAGAGCGAGAGTATGTTCTCTGTTAGAACTGGCTGTAGCCACTATCTGGACCGTCTGCCAGACTCTCACCTTTCAGGTATCTAATTTCTGATTTGAAATCTGATCAGCAATCCAGTATGCAATGAGTCTCTAACAGTAACAGCTTCTGTGGCCCTGTAGCTCTGCTTGGCGCTGGAGGAATGTATCAATCATAATCCAGAAGCAAACAAAAGGCAAAGTGGAAATGGAATTAGTCTTTGACAGTTGCATCCTGAAATGACAAGAGCGGGGACAGAAGTGCCCCCATAATTTGGGGGGGAATTTTCATGTTTCTTACATGAAATTTGTCTCAGTAGGGCATTTTGAATTCAAGAGAAGGAAAAGTTCACAGGAAAGAGGCTAAAAATAGAAGTTTTGCTAAATTAAATATTAGCGTAGGAATATTTGCTGCAGCTGCCACAGGGCTAGAAATAGTGAAATAGAACTTGACTGAATAAATGGGCAAGAAGAGGTGAAGGTAACTGGTGGAGATTGCTGCACTAACATAATCCTTGGAGAAGGTTTTCTCCGAAGTGCTGTCCTGCTTCCTTTTCAGCTGCCACCCTGCTGCATACAGAAGAATCACTGATTTTTTTTGTTCTGCAGTTGGGGAGCAGGCTCTGTTGGGAACAGCAGTTTACAAGAAAGTCCTCTGTTGTATCTTTTGGCCTGTCAGGGAGAATGGAAAGTCATCTGTGTGGACTAAACTCCTTTATCCTCCCTAATGTAATATGCTTATCAGTTTCCAGGAAATCATAAAAAAAAAAAAAAAAATGGTTCTCAGTGGGAGTATCAGACCTTAGTGAGCAAAGAGCTCAAAAATTTTACAGAAGTGTGAACAATAGAGAATTAAAATACTGTTCTTCTGATTGCACTTCTGTCACTTCTTGCACTGTTTACAGTGTCAAAACAATGAACCCCTTTTTAGTAGACTGTAAAGATTATTTTTTTTTGTGGTTGTGATTCATCATCTGTCAATGAGTTGTATTTGTGAGGGTTTTTATGTAAAAAGTATTTTGAAACGTGTATCAGGCCCCACAGGCAAACACACCATGGACCTTGGGAATAAAATTGGCCATATTTAGCCCAGAAGTCAAAGCCGAACACTTACAACAGCGTGCGCAGAAACTTCTGAGGAACAGTAAAATACAATCTGCCCAGTTTGATGCATGTTACTTTATTTAAAATTCATACAGGAGAGGTACAAAACCACTGCCTTGCAGCAGAAAAAAATTAAACTCAGCCTGACATACATCAGTCCAAAACAGACATAGAACTTTACATCAATGTAGGTTCAGAAGGAATCTTTTATAAAATACTCCTTGAAGCTGTTGCTTAAAAGGGTATTTTGTGAGCTGTCCAAGAACTCCTGTGAAAATCTATGTTTCCTTGCCATTAGCAATGATTCTTTGCCAGTTTTTATCATTGTGTTGAATGGAATACATCTTCGTCATTTGACATGAGAATTATGCAACTCACCACACCTTATGGTTTGTGCTATGATCACCTTTCCTTCTCAGAAAGCATACTTACAGTCTCTTTGCTATTGCAGTCGATAAACCAAATATAAAAGCCTTCCATACCTGTAATGGCAAGGTGACTTTAAATAACAACAAAAATGCTGATGCTATCAGTTTCTGAGTTATTTATATAAATATTTGCCATTCCTCCTTTCAGCTAGGGAAAATAGAAAGATTTCCTTAAAATTCTTCATTGATAATGCATCTAGACCAACTTTTCCAGCAAGCTGTGCAGCACAGCAAATGCCCTTTTTCATATATAATCTGTAGGCAAATGATAGGATTGTGGAGTTTGTTAGTTGTGTGTGATGGACCTAAAGCATGCCATGCTGTCAACAGTGCTGTTAGGGCTGGCAAACTGCACAAGCTGGTAAGTTTATTTTTAATAGCAGCATAACTTACTGCAATAGAATGAGCAGCTGGTATGCCTGCAGCATATTGCTCAGTAGCTTTTGGTAAAGGATGCCTCGCATTTCCAGGTAGATGATGTGGCCATATGCTTCTAACATATGCCTTGAGCTGTCATGGCAGTGGAGTAAGTTGCACACAGTGTTATTTTCAAGTTAGCAGCAAGGATTGCTATTGTTTTCTAAACCTCTAGCTTTATCATCTGGTGTTAATTGGCTATTGCCATACTCCATGTTCAGGCAAATATGCGTTTGAAGTCACTTCACAGAAACTCCTGAGTTTCTGATTATTGTGCTTTTGGACCTTTGTGGTCTATTTGTTTTCTCCTCTTGATCTAGCTATAGATGAAGAAGGAGATGGTGTAGCAGCTTCTCCTGCTGTTGCTGAAAAATCTGCAGCACCATCTGTGTGGTAGTGTTATGGTACAGTTGTAAAGCTGGTCGGTGCCTAATTGTCTGTGTTGATTGCATTTCATTACAGGAGGCTGTATATACCCAGTAGTCACAGCTGCAGTGGGGAACACAGTTTTTATTTGAAGTTTGAAGGCAGCATTCCTTATCTGAAAGAGGTGAACTGTGGGAGGTTAAGTGAGAAGTTACGGAACATTTTCAGTTTGATTATTTAATGTAGAATACAGTGAGTGAATTGTAGTTATTTACTTACGTACCTTATGACCAATTCTGTAACATGTAGAATCTAGCATTTGTGCTAAGCATGTGGGGTAATTGCTTAGAATATTAAGCATATATGTCACTGCATACTCCCTCTCCCTTCTTTCTCCTTCACCACATACAGCTTTTAGCACTGATGTAAAAGCAAAGACATAGAGTAAGGAAAAAGTGGACTGATTTTTTTTTTTTTCACTGCAATTACCATTGCCAAGTTTGCTTTTGTTTTCAATGTTAAGCATGTATGTTTCTGATTTAATAATTTAAAATATGCCATGTACTTCCCTTTTAGAGCTTACTTGGTGCTTACTTATTTATTCATTTATTTTTTTCATACTAGGTTAGCCTACACAAACCGGAAATTAGACTGGAATCATTAAAAGAAGATATTAAGGATTTTCTGAAGACATCAGGTTTGTAATACTTCATTGATACATTTGTGAATAGAACAGATCTGTGTAAGGCTGTATGTGACATACATTATGAAAATAGTAGTTTGTGCAGCTTGGTATCTTGTCACTGACAGTAGCCAAAAGTAGATATTCAGTGACTCCAGATTATTAAATGAGATAGAGGAAATAAAAAGGTGGAAGTTCTTGGATTCAGCAGCATTTTGAAAAACATACTATGCAGAGAAGTGATTTTATAATTTTATAAGACACCGATAATATTTTGAAAGTTCTGAGCAATCATAGAATCATAGAATGGTTTGACTTGGAAGGGACATTAAAGATCATGTAGTTCCAACCCCCCTGCCATGGACAGAGACACCTTCCACTAGACCAGGTTGCTCAAAGCCCCATCCAATCTGGTCTTGATCACTTCCAGGGAAGGGACATCCACAGCCTCTCTGGGCAGTCTGTTCCAGTGTCTCACCACCCTCACAGTAAAGAATTTCTTCCTTATATCTCATCTAAATCTACCCTCTTTCAGTTTAAAACCATTACCCCTTGTCCTGTCACTACACTCCCTGATAAAGAGTCCCTCCCCATCTTTCCTGTAGACCCCTTTAGGTACTGGAAGGCTGCTATGAAGTCTCCCCAGAGCCTTCTCTAAGGTGAACAACTCCAACTCTATGAGCCTGTCTTCTTAAAGGAGATGCTCCAGCCCCCTGATTGTCTTTGTGGCCTCCTCTGGACCCACTTGAGCAGGTCCATGTCCTTCTTATGTTGGGGTCCCCACAGCTGGACACAGTACTGCAGGTGGGGTTTCATGAGAGTGGAGTAGAAGGGGAGAATCACCTCCCTTGACCTGCTGGTCATGTTTCTTTTGATGCAGCCCAGGATACAGTTGGCTTTCTGGAACTACGAGTGCACATTGCTGGCTCACAGTCAGTTTTCCATCCACTAATAACCCCAAGTCCTTCTCTGTAGGGCTTCTCTCAATCCACTTGTTGCCCAGCCTGTATTTGTGCTTGGGATTGCTCTGACCCATGTGCAGGACCTTGCACTTGGCCTCGTTGAACTTCATGAGGTTTGCATGGGCCCACTTCTCCAGCTTGTCCAGGTCCCTCTGGATGGCACATCCCTTCCCTCCAGTGTGTCGACTGTAGCACACAGCTTGGTGTCATCGGCAAACTGATGAGGGTGCACTCAGTCCCACTGTCCATGTTGCCAACAAAGATGTTAAACAGCGTTGGTCCCAGTACCATCCCCTGAGGAACACCACTTGTCATTGCTCTTCACTTGGACATCGAGCCAATAACCACAACTCTTTGAGTGTGACCATCCAGCCAATTCCTTATCCACTGAGTGGTTCATCTGTCAAACTCATATCTCCCCAATTTAGAGACAAGGGTGTCATGCAGGACAATGTCAAAAACTTTGCCCAAGTCCAGGTATATGACATCAGTTGCTCTTCCATTATCCACCAGTGCTGTAACCCCATCATAGAAGGCCACCAAATTTGTTGAGCGCAGTTTGCCCTTAGTGAAGCCATGTTGACTGTCACAAATCACCTCCTTATATGATGCATAGTGGCTTAGCCACTTCATCCACCAGTTCCCTGAGGACCCGTGGATGCATCTCATCAGGTCCCACTTTCAGGTCCCTTAGATGGTCTCAAACCTGATCTTCTCCTGCAGTGGATGGTTCTTTATTCTCACAGTCCCCGCCTTTGCCTCCTACATCTTGGACAGTGTAGCTGGAGCACTTGCTGGTGAAGACTGAGGCAAAAAAGTCATTGAGTACCTCAGCCTTCTCCATATCTCAGGTAACCAGGTCTCTTGTTTCCTTCTGGAGAGGGCTCACGTTTTCCCTAGTCTTCTTTTTATCACTGACAGAAATATAGAAGCCTTAATTGTTGTCCTTGATGTCTCTGGCCAGATTGAATTCTATCAGTGCTTTGGCCTTCCTAAGATGATCTCCAGCTGTTTGGACAATTTCTCTGTATTCCTCCCAGGCTATCTGTCCTTGCTTCCATCCTCATACAAGTGTTCAGTCACTTCTGAAAATGGAAATTAGCATTCATGGAGGTAGTCTTGAAAATTTTACTCTTAGTTAAGTTTCCAATCTGCATTGGAAGTTGTAGGCTATATAACTATAATATGAAGATTTGATGGCAAGTGATAGAAGCTTCATAATAATCAGGAACACTGTGTCTATTACTATTTATAGTTCTAGTAATATGATGGCTTTTAAAAAATAGCATATGATTGTTTAACCAAAATGGTGTTGTGATTATTTGAACAGCAGATGGAAATAAAGGATAAACAACCTTTATACAAGTCTCATCTTGCAGTTTTTCCTATCTTAATTAAATTAAGGTTTCTTCATCTCTTCTGTCTGTTTAGTAGGTAGACATGAATTGAGACAGGACAGAAAACTCTAGTGACTGCAAAGTAATCTCTGATTCATGTTCTGTTAGTATTAATTCCTGGTTTTCTTCTGAATATTTTTTTCATTTTAACAGGTTGGGAAAAGAAGCTTCAGAATGCTGTTTATAGCGAACTCAATGTGTGAGTTTAGTTATTTTATTTAATAAATTCTACTCACATGATTTACTTCTGATTCATTTGTATATATAGGTGTATGGTGTGTTGCTATTATCTGCAAGATCTGTCATACCAAGGGTACCTGCTTCGTTTCTGATTTTGAAGTGCCATTATTTCTTTTTCATCCTAGTGAAAATATTGGACCCATGTACATTTTAAAGAATGAGTGAAACAAATATCACTAATTTTTTTTTAAATTTACTTTAGTAATTTCTTTGGTTTTTTACTTCCAAACATACCAACAGTCATAATTCTCATGTAACTGAGGTAGTTGCTGCAAATAAATTTTAATTATTTTCAGATGTTTATGACAGCATTGCATATATTTGTTGTATCAGTTATTTTAAAAAAATCTTGAAGATATTAGATCTTTAGACTTACCATATCAGCATTCATCGTGTTTGGGGTGTGGTTATAAACACAATGAAATCTGTGAAATCCCCTTTTTGTTATTGTTCAGTGAATTTTGGATTAGACTGCTGGGAAGCATAAATTGGCCGTTACATTCTGGCAAGGTGAATTTTGTAATAGATATAGCCATAAATGCAACTATATCATAAGAAATGTGTATGCAAATCTATTTGTGCTAATTTAAATAAGCTTATTAGAGTTACCACTTTAGAACGATGTGTCCTAGTAATACGAGGGACTCAATTCAGCAAATTATTTTTATCTGTTAGTAAGGGTACATCTTCATTGTATCTTTCAGGGAAAAGTATTTACCTGTGCCTTAGATTAATGCTTATGCTTTCTTTGAGTTCATGAAAGTAAACTGAAAAATAATGAAATTAGTCCTGGAAATTAACTGAGAATACCATGATTTCATGAACATTGTGGAAAAGCCAAGAAACAGTATTGCTGCAATTTGTTAGTACTGATTCCAGTTTACACATAGGTACAGAGTTGTCCAGAACAAATTAGCAGCAAGTACAAGAATGACCTTACCAATTAAAAATGGGAAAAAATTTGGGGAGGGTTTCTCAAAATCATATGATAGGAACTGATTAAATATATTTAAACAGATGAAAATTCAGGCTAACTATGAGTGAATCTTTGTGTAAAGTTTGTTTCCTGAAAGATGTTTGAGACACTTAAAATTAAGCTGGGTAAAATGTTTGGCAGTAACTGATTGGAAATAATCTGCACTACTGAAGATAAATTAGTAGTTTGTTTTGGTTTTTTTATTTTTGTTCCAGCTTTTATATTTTGGCATAATGCAATTTATGAATTAATATTCAGTTTTACTTCTGTCAGCACCACAAAGTACTAATTGCTTTGAACATGCACGTGTTCACTATTGATTTTTAAAAGGAAATCCTCAAAAATGTATATTGTCTATTGAAAAAAAAGTATTTTGGATAGTAAAAGTTCCAGAGAGTCATAAAGATAACATGATTTGGAGAGGATACACTTTTAAAACACCTGATTTGTTCATAGAATTATTTGATTTTGTTTTACAAGTATGTGAAATTATAAGGACTTACTGGTTTTAATATAAGACGAACTCCCATTGAAACATTATTAATACTTACTTATCTTTATATTGTTTGTGTCCATAGGCAAGGATGATGAAGAAATACTTCAAAAAATAATGTTTATTTTTAGTTTTGATCAACATACACAGTGGTTACATGAAAGAAGTTATGTTTAGGTTTACAAATACAGATTAATTAAGCAACATAAAAATATACTATAATTTCTTTAAGGTTTCCTTCGCCCTGTCATCCTGCAGCACCGCCTGAGCATATGAAAGAACCATTAGCTTATATGAGGAAAGCACAGGTTGGTTGTTATCAATTGTACCATTCATATCAGATCTTTGATTAGACTATTTGAGATTTACTTTGTATAAAGTTATTGTACCATTTATAGGTTTTATACCTTAGGAAGAACATAAATTTGTATTGTGTTGAAGTTAATACTATTGTTGTATATGTGACATTTTACATACAAAAAAATGCCCAAGTAATTCTCCAACCATGGAAGATGTAGGATATAGTGACAGGTGTGTGAATATTGTATAATAGAGACGATGTGAAATATATCAAGGAGGATAATTTGTAGGGAATAAGAAAACGTGTAGCTATAGGTCATTTCACTTAGGATTACAAAAATACTGTTTTGAGGAGACACAGGCAGTTTTGCCGTGAAAGACAACAGGCTGCAGAAGTAGCAAGATCTTCAGAAAGAAGAGGTATATTTAGTACTTAGAAATGTGAAAAGAAGATGAAAAGCATAGAGCGAAGGAGCTTAAGGTATATTGAAGGAGAATAAGAGAAACTGGACTATAAAAGATTAAATGAGGATTTTTGGTGTCAGGAAGAAAATATTTTTGCTTCATTGATTGTATTTTTTTCACGAATATATGGCATTTGAAAGAAATAAAAAAAATTCCATGTACAAATATAAAAAAAAGCTTCAAGAATATGATTTGATGAAAATATCTGAGGTGAGGATAAAATTAGTATTTAACTCAGACGTGCCTAGAAATATATTGCAGTATTCTTTTACAAGGTATTCAACAAATTGTGTTACTTTTGCAATCATTTTGCTTATTCCAGTAAGTTTTATCTTGCCGTCCTGGGTTTCAGTCTTTAGCATTTGGGAACAAAGATATATTTTTCTTCTGTGGTGCGAAAGGTAATGCCACAATTTACTGCCTGAAAATAATCACTTTTATTAGGTCACTAATGTGAAAACCACAGAGGTATATCTATGTGTATGTTTGTCCAAACCAGTTTCTTCGTTTATTATTTTATAAGAGTGTATAAAGTACTTACAAGAACCAGTATTTTTAGCACTATGTGGAAGGGACTGTTTTTCAAACAGTTTAGTAATGAGTAGGAGAAGTCCTGTCTTTACTGGTTTCAGAATTTCATAGCCCTGTTTCAAAGAGTACTAGGCATTCATATCCTCTGGGGTGGGTTAACACTGGTAAGCAGCTCAGCTGCTTGCTCACTCCCCATCAGTGAAATGGGGGAGAGAATCAAAAGGGCAAAAGTGAGAAAACCTGTGGTAAAGACACATAAAGACAGTTTAATAGGTAAAGCAAAAGCTACACTTGTCAGCAAAGCAAAACAGGAATTCGTTCACCACTTTCCATTGGCAGGCAGATGTTTAACCATCTCCAGGAAAGCTGGGCTCCATCATGCATAAGTTACTTGGGCAGACAAATACCTCAACTCTGAAGATTGACCCTTCCTCCTTTCTCCCAGCTTTTTTTATTCAGAGCATGATGTCATATGGTCTGGAATATTGCTTTGGTCTGTAGGGGTCCACTGTCTTAGCTCTATGCCCTCTCAACTTCTTGTGCACCCCCAGCCTTCTCACTGGTGGGGAAGCATGAGAAATAGAAAAGCCCTTGAAGCTATGTGCATGCTTTTCAGCAGCAGCTAAAACGTTGATGTGTTACCAAAACCAGCTTGATCACAAGTACAAAACACAGCGCTATACCAGCTACTATGAAGAAAATTAACTTTATCCTAGCCAAAACCAGTAGATCCTCTGTCGAATCCTTTGTTGAAATACAACTTTTCAGTGAAGTCATATGAATCCTTTTCATAGAGAAATATTGATAAATAGTGATAGTTGTGAAATAAAAATAAATAGGTAGTTAGAAAAAGACAATGTTAATTCCCTAAGACCACTGAGGTATGTATGAACGTTTAGATGCACACACATTTATCACTGTAGGTAATCAGTCCTTAAGAAAACAATCATGATCAGATTGGCTGAATCACAATGAGGTTTTATTTTGTTACTATTTTGATTAAAGAGCAATAAACAATGTTAAAAAGCTTACAAAGTCACTGTTTTGATGTGTGTGTTTAAAATATTTTGAAATAGCTATACAGAACACACAGGGTGCTAATACCTTTAGGGAGAGAAATAAAAGTGGAAACTTACCAATTTACTTCCCTTTAGTATTGAAAATCTGATTAATGTTTTGAAGGTAGAAGACTGGTTTTGCTTTATTTGTAGGTACATTGTTTCACTTTATTTGTCGTTTAGCATCACAGCAGTTGGAAAATAATATTTTGGTGCTATCAACAAAATTTGTTCTGGCAGAAAAATGTTTTCCATATAAGTCATGTTCTGTTTTTGTTATGCATAGCCACCATTTAAGATGCTGTTTGTCTTGCTATGAGCTTGCTGACATTTTCTTTATCCTTTTCTATTTTAATTAATTTTGCTCTACTTCAGAATTCTGGAAAGGAGGGTCATACTCTCTGGAAACCATCTTACTTTGATATCAGTTATTGGAATGACTTTGAATCAGTAAATAAAACTATATTAGTATTTTTCTAGAGTAGATATTAAAATATTCATAATTAACCCTTTTTCTCCTCAAACTTGTTCTGTTGTTTCATTCTTATGTGGCAGATTGAAGTTTTTATACTGTATTCTCTTCACTACCTCAAAAGAAAAACAACTTTCTAGGAAAGGATAAAGCATTGGCAGCAATAAGTAGTAATATTGTCAATCATTCATGTATTTGCGGTATTGTCTAGTGTAGAAAAAGTACTGATGTTTATATTTACATATCTTTCAATATTATTGTAACATAATGTGTATTTTCTAATTGTGTGTGCTGAAGAACTGGTCCTATGTTTGGGTTGAGATAGATCACTGGGTACAGCTTCTTTAGTCTGTCATTGTTTAGATCTTTTTGAGACAGAGAAATACTATGTCTTGGGGTTTTTTGTTCCTGAAAAATGCTAGATACAGTATTTATGACCTTTCTTTAAAACATCAGGTTATTTCACATCCCTGGTGTTTCCTGAGGTATTTGGTCTGGTTACAGTTTTGGAGAGATAGTTCACCTTTTCCTGCCTTGTTAAACAGCAGAATTATTGCTTAAAATTTACACATCTTAATGCAGACAGTGTGTTAGCAGTAGATTCTAGGATTAAAAATTTGAATTTTGCTCATTTGCTTTACCTGCCCCTCAGAGACTGATAGGAGTTGAAACATTCATGAATCCGTTGAACTGCTGTATTTATTATTTTCATATCTACATTTTGATGAGGTGAAATGATTGCAGACCTCTTCGACTGTTTGTTTTGCTCCCAGAGTTCACTGGGAAAGCCTTTGCTAGATTTAAGACAAATATGCTGCAAACAGCAATGAAGAAATTAAGTGGACAACATAAAAATAAGAGCAAAAAGAGGTGAAGAGAAGCACAAGAAGCTGAGTCCAAAGAAATGTTAGGAAGTGTTTCCAGTCTGATATGTTTCATGAAACTGCCTTTTAATGGTGTCATATGTGGATTTTACAAAGTTCATAACAAACCAAACACTGTAAATCTCACAGGAACTCCTATCACAATAGTCCTATAATATGTAATTCATAAATTTGCACTGCTATGTTTTAATCCATAGAGGTCCTTTATCCTTGTTTTAGCTGTAAGATGGGAGCTTGTTTCAGGGTTTTGAGAGAAATGTTAAATGAGTAAATGAGGAGGAGATAGGTGGATAAGAAATTATGACCATTGCCCAGTAACAAAGCATAAGGAGTAGGAAAACAGGAAATGAGCAGCCAGTTCTGTGTTGGAATATATCTATCTGACTCCAGCAGCTGTTTTCCACAGTAGGAGTGGGAAAGGTGTTGCTTTCCCAGAGCAAGGCAACATTAAGTTAATTAACTGTCTTCAAAATGTTCTGAGATACTCTACTGTCTCTCTGGAACCCATGTTGTCTGAGTTAATAATACTTATTTTTTCTTGACCTTCTTTAAAGTTTTATTCTATTACTTCTAAATTTGTCTCCAATGAAAAAAAAGTGATAGGTTTATCTGAAATTTGTTTAGTCAGAAACATAACTCTTGGTGATTTTTTGCAATACAATTTACCTTCCTAAGGTAGGACAGCTTTTAAAACTAGAGTACTGGAGTACATTCACAAAAATGAGAATACTGATACACTGTTTCAGGAAATCTTAAGGATAATTCACTGTGGTCTACCTGAGTAACATCAGCTGCTTACCTAAAAATACAGGGACCTGAAAAGATAAATTGTTTTCTGGTGGGCTGCACTTCAGACTTCCGGGAAGATAAATGACCATAATTAACTGTATTTTAACCTGTTTGTCACTTGTTTCATTTCATTCTTTAGCTCCATGCTTCTAGCCAAATCTGTGAAGATCTTACTGAAGTGGAGCTTTGTATATTTTCCTATGTTCCTCTTTACTCATTTTCAGATCTTGCATTTTGAAGAAAGTCCATACATAAACAACAGACTTTAGAAAATTACCTTGAAGTACATTGTTATATTTGCTATTGATCCTCGTTAGGTTTTTTGTCCAGCTAAGACCAGATTCCCTGTGTTGGAGGTGCTATACAGACACGCACTCAAAAGAGCATTCTGACCTGTAGTCAGAATAGTTAAAAGCTAGAGCACTTCCCAGTGCTATTTGAAATATGAGTAACATTATAGTTAATTTCAGTAGGAGTGTGAGTACTTGGAACCTTTTAAAGATACTAAACTGTAATAGAGATGTTCCTGTCTGTATCCTAATTTCTCCCAGAAGAGTTAATCTCTAAATGGTTAAAAAGAAAGCTAAATTATTAATTTTTTTCTTAAAACAGACTGGTGGACGCTGAAGAAATTAAAATGACAATACTACATATTCTAATGCTGTGACTGGTGAACATCCACTTAAAATGTCTTTTATTAATAGTCAATTAATCTTTCCTAGTTTCTAAATCTCTTTGAGAAAATCAACTTGAGTGCTTGATTAGTTGATAAAGAAAAATGGTGTTTTCTTTGAAAAGTATTAAACTAAAAAGAAAACTGATAAAATTTTTACTATTCCTAAAAGAATTTCTGTTTCTTCTTACAGAAGTTGGAGTAGGAGATATTCAGATCTCTTTTAGATCATGTGTTGATCTGGTTTCTTATGTCCTAAATTAAGTTATGCCTCTTATCAGAGGCCAGATGGAAAGTTCATCAGAATGAGAGCAGTACCAACACAGCTTCTCTATTTCTCTTCTTTTTGAAATTTACAGGTTTTGACATGAGAAAATTTACCAAATGAAATCTGTGTCCAGACACCTTGAATTTTACCTGAGGAGTAGGTCTCATTAGGTACACTCTGAAAGAATCACATTTCTGTCTGGTCTTCTAGAAGAAACAATTATCACATTCATTATTGTGGAAAAAACTAACTAATCCTGGCTAGTTTATGCAGTTGTGACAAATTTCTGTTTAGTTTATTTGTTGTTTAGCCAGGTTCATTTAACTGCAGTGAAAGTTTGTGAATGGCTTTGCTACAGAATAAGATAAATCTGATTTGTAATAGATATGTTTGGAATTGTTTGCAAATTGCAGTACTGCTTTCTTCAGTTTCAACTGTTTTATTGAAGGTTATCATTGTAACCATAGCAATCCCAGCAACATGTTTTCTTAGTGTTAAATAGCTGCATAAAATTAGAGGAATCATCTTGGAAAATTTACTGCTCCGATCAGTTAAATGACTTTATGAACTTTGTCTGGCTTTTATTTCTGTCGAGGACACTGCATTCTGTTTCTGCTCACTACAGGTAACTTGGCTGTCCTGGGGAGAGAGGAGGACCTGTTGCTTGGAGAGGCTGTGTAACGCTCACTTTTGTTTGGACTTGTATTTGAGCATCTTTTACTGGACAGTCATAAAGTCTGAATTATGGCACAGTTTATGAGTATTCAGAAGTGATTTATTACTAACATGTTGCATCCCCGATCCAACAACCAGATTAATGTCTGGTCAGGCACTTGTCAGTCACACTGAGTATCAACCTCCATTACTCCTTGGAATGAGCTAGTTCCCACTCTTGCAAAGCTGCCATCTGCCTCCTCTGTGCTGCTTTTGTAGCTTTTATATCTTGGAGCATATCCATGGTGTTTTTTTGGGTTTTGTTTGGGTTTTTTTTCCCCTTAATTTTGTTGGGATCAAGTGTACCCTGATGAAGTTTACTGATGATACCTAGCTGAGTGGGGAAGTGGACACTTTGGAAGGGAGAGCCAGCCTGCAGGAAGACCTGGTTAGGCTGGAAGAGTGAGCTAACAAGAACCTTATGAAGTTCAACAAGGCCAAGTGTAAGGTCTTGCACCTGGGAAACATAATTCAGGAGTGCAGCACAGGCTGGGATCTCCTGTCTGAGGAGCAGCTTTGTGGAAAGGGACCTGGGGGTCCTGGTGCACAACAAGCTCAATAGGAGTGACCAGTGTGCTGCAGCAGCAAAGTGAGCCAACAGCACGCTGGGTTGCATCAACAAGGGCATCACCAGCAGAGTCAAAGAAGTCATTATCCCACTCAGTGTTTGTCAGGCCACAGCTGGAATACTGTGTTCAGTTTTGGTCCCTGCTATACAAAAAAAATGTGGGCAGTCTGGAGAGGGTCCAAGAGAAGGGACACAAAGATGATGAAGGTACTGGGAAGCCTGTCATAGGAGGAAAGGGTGAGAGAACTGGGTTTGTCCAGCTTTGAGAAGACAGGGGAGACCTTATCACCATGTTCCAGTATTTAAAGGGTGGCTACAGAGAAGATGGCGACACCCTTTTTACTAGGAGTCGGATGGAAAAGATGAGTGGTAATGGGTACAAGTTACTCATAGGGAGATTCCGATTGGACATTAGGAAAATTTTTCACAATGAGGACAATCAGCCGTTGGAATAATCTCCTCAGGGAAGTGGTGGATTCCCCAACATTGGACGCTTTTTAAGTTTTGGCTGGTCAGGGTGCTGGGCCATCTTGTCTAGACAGTGCTATTGCCAAGAAAGGTTGGAGCAGATGATCCCTGAGGTCCCTTCTAAGCTGGTGTTCTCTGATTCTGTGATTGATCCTGATGATTTCACTGTTTAAACTCCTACTGACACCTCTGTGTTTTCCCTTTGTTTCTGCTTTCTGATCCTATATGGCTTAGTAGTCTTCATGCTCTCTCATTTCTTATTTCTTCCAGCAACAAAACCATGCTTCTCAGCAAAACAGGGTACTGTAAATTCTCTACACTCACCCCTCTGCAAGAGAATTACTGATCTGTGGCATGTTGTTGTGTAACTGCATCACTTGGCATTTGTATACAATAATACAGTTAAATTAAAATATTATACAGAATATTATAAAAGATACTGACATTTAGAAAACGTTCTTCACAATCAAAACATAGATCTGTTTTGTTTATGCAAGAGAAGGGATGACCTGACTGTAAGAAGAAATTTCTAGTGAAAGATAGCTATTTCATTTGATGGAAAAAAGTAATGAGAGGATCTTCTAAATGGAAGCTAAAATGAAACAATTGTAGACAAGATAGAATTTTTAATTTTTTTTAACAGAACGTTTAAACATCTGCTCTTCCCTTCATTTGCTTCCTGTCTAATAAACTGCAGCCTCTTTTGGACAGAACTTTAAGCTTGAGGAACATGTGGTTAGAGAATAACTGTTATAGAATTTGTGTCTAGAGCAAATTACAAATAATAAATAAAGCTATATGACATTAAGAGGAGTCTTTGCATTCACTTGATTGAGGCCTGACTCATCATCCACAGAAAAGTAAATTAAATATAAAACCCACCAGTGCTGCTGTAATCACGGAAGCAGAATCCTAAATCGGTTGACAAGGAAGTCAGTACTAGTTGGCAGTAACTTCAGAGGAATTATCCATGGATTAGGAACCATATGGTAAATTTAAATTGTAATGCAATAGTCAGAATAATCTGATTGCTCTTTAACCTATCCGCTTGCTACTGAGGTATTGTCTACTTCTGTTTTTCTCTCTGATTAGAGAACTATTTCCTGAGCATTATTTTAGAACTGTTTTTTTAGCATTACAGAATACCAAATTTCTAACTTTTTTAACTTCTGAGAACATCCAAGATACCATTTTTTGGAGAAAGACTTGTGCTCTCTTCAGGTCACAAAGTGGAGAAGGCATTCTCTGTACACAGTTGATTGTCCTGGTGATAATTGTTAAATGTTGATATATAAGGAAGCTTGATCGTTAGACATATGTTGAAAACCAGTAATTGTGAAATACGTGCTTTTTGGAGATCGGAAATGCAAAGAACTCATTTTTTCTGTTGTTTTTATTGTATTGTAAATTATTAAATCTGTTTGCTTTATTGTTTCCATTTATATAAGGATGTAAATATTCCCTTCTCATTTTGCAGATGTCAGTCAGTCATTCTTGCCATTCTTTCTTATATATGACTTTTAAAAGCTGGTTGTTATTACAGGATAAATGCAATTGGGGGAAGAAGAAATTCCATATTTTGTGTGTGTGTGTTTTAGGGAAGCTGGGAGAAGCGAATTCTAAAAAGTCTCAACAGCATGTGCACAGAACTCAGTATCCCACTAGCGCAGAAGGTAATACATTATTAACTTTCTGTTGCCAAACTGCCTTTGTTCTGGAAATTAAGCCTTGTCTTGCACATTTGTAATGTAATATTCATTTTATACATGGTTAACAAGAGCTGCAAGGCCAGTATTCAGCTAATTTTAATACAGAATCATTTTCAGGTATAGTGGCAATGTATGCATCAGGTGAACTTGGGAGAAGATTCAAGTCTATAGGTAGATCTTCCTCTACTGTTGCAGTAATTATCCTCTTGAGGGAGCAGCATGTTCATTGCTATGTTGCTAGCATGTAATCGTAATAGAGCGTTTTTGTGTGCATACTCAGCTGTATACCTTCTAGCTGCATAGCCTGTACACAATATACATATACTCTGTGTGCTGGAGAAAGCTATAGTTGAACTGGTACTTTAGGAGAGAGATATACTGGTACATTGTTAATTTTGTTTTCATTTTGCTTTGTCTTGTTTTTTATTAATTCAGAGGCTTTAATTTTAAAGGTCATGGAATTGGGGAATAATGTTAGAATGCCTTGTTGTTTATCTTCCTCCTGTTGTATATCTATGATAGGTAGCAGGATCTCTGTGGTTCATCATATGAGATAAAGGATGCAGCTGTGTTTGCTTTTCATGACTATTCTGGGGACAGGAATTTGATGATAAAGTGCAACAGGTCTATAGAATGAGCAGTAAATCTTCAGTAGTATGAAACTGACTTCTAAGTAGTCTAAAATTCATTAGTAAACACAAGAAACTATTTAATGGGCTCCTTTTTTTGCTTGAGCTGGAACTTGGGCTTTCTACAGTAGAACATAGAGGGATAATTTGTAAGCAAAATATGTTTGAATTGGTAGTGCAGTATACTTTTTAAAATTACATTAATTTATGTATTTGAAATAGGCATGTTTTTACTCATTCTGTTAAAAAAAGACTTACCTTCTTATGTGTTTCAGAGGCCTGTAAGTGAACAGAAAGAACTGCTTAATAAATGGAATGAAATGGGAACTGATGAGCCAGGTAAGGTCAACTAAATTTATGTCCATTAAATTTCTGTATGTAGAGAAATAGCATTTACATAGTATTTATCAGTCAAAGATTAATGTAATCACTTCAAGGTAAACTGATTTCAGTCTTTTTTGTCATTGGCAATGTGTCATTATGCTTAAATAAGTATTAATTTCATTGTGAGTTTGTTTCAAGTTAATATACTAACTTTAAATCATCACTGAGAGTTTATGATGTAATACTCCTCATTCCAGTGCTTTAGAGATTTATACAGCTAGGGCACAGCTCCTCTTGGTGTAAGCTCAGGCTAATAGAAAATGTTCAGAACTATGGATAATTAAGCTCAGATTTTAAGATGTTACATTAACAAAAGAGAAAAATAATACTTGCATGCAATAGTCAGTCATATTATCCTTTGGGAGAGCAAGACTAACTGCCTTGTTAGTTCATATACAAGTTCCTTAAAATGAATGGCTTTGCAGAGGTACTAGTTTGTATTGCAGTACCACCTCTGCAACAGTAAATATTTTTCATGGATTGTTTATGACTAGTCTCTATTTTTTTATTTGACAGCAGTATGTTTAATTCAACCATCTATGCTGTTAAAATAAAATCCCTCTTTTGCATATCATATCTCTCCCATGTCTAAGAAGGGTACAGTTTAAACACTTATGTGGAATAAGTAAAAATTTCCCATGACTACTCTTCACTTACTTGGGGTTTACAAAACTAAGGCACTAACAGTAGCATAATCTTGAAGAATATGTGGTGGTTTTAGCCGTGTTTAACCGTTTGCTCTAATATTTTATCGAAATTGCTAGATTGTGTTACAGATATGGGAAAGGTGGATATTTTTTTAATCTCTTGGTTTTAACATAGCATCACTCAAACCTTATTTCAGATCTAAGTCTCTTCCGACCTGTTTATGCACCTAAAGATTTTCTTGAGGTAAGTATTTATGAAACAATAACTCAGCCATAGACTTGCATCCATTAGCCTTTTATGTGAAGTGGAAAAAATAATTGCTAAGTGATTTCAAACAATTTGTCCTTTATAGCAAGTGAAATTTGACACGTTTTTGACAACTGAATATTTTGTTTGCAAAACAAAATGCTATTGTTTCTTTTTTTAACTGCAGTTTTAAATTGTACTTGTGATAAACTTCTCTTTCTCCATGAAAGTTTGGAGCTACCTTTTTTTCCTCTCAGAGCAATTCTCAAACTGATTTCATAAATCATTTTATATTTTAAATTGTAATACAGTAAGCTGATAAATTGTAGTATGTGAAGTTGATAGATAGTTTGGTGTTAAATAGTAGACCTGCATGCAGATGAAATTGTAGATCATCTATGAAGACTGTGAAAAATCAAACATGAAACAGAACTGTGTAGAATTTAGAGGCTTTTGTCTGTAATCAAACCAAACCATTAAAAAATGGTAACTGCTGAATCTTTAAAGTCAGAAATGACAGTATTGCTTGTCATTTTATATGGTTCAATCACAGAACATCTTAGTAAAACAGAACTTGATTTACCAGCTATGCCTAGAATAGGCATGGATGAGGGACAATAAATATTGTTGATGACAGTGAACTTAATGGTGACACAGCAGGAGATTTTTGATTAAAATGTGATTCCAATTAAAATTTTAAAAATCAGTATCTGTATATCCTGTGAGTTATACAGGAAACATAGCCTAGAGAATGACAACAGTGTAGAATTTACAGAGTTAAGATTTACAGAATAAAACTTAGAAGTCTAATACTGAATTATCAGTCAGTATTAATGTATTAATATTTCAGTGTGATTCGGTGAAAGTTTACTGGAATGTCTTTTGTAGTGGTAGAGGAGACTCAGTATTTCTGACAACTGTAAATTGTTTCAGGGTTATGAATTTTGAATGCATTTCTGAATCCAACAATAAACTTCTGTCGATTTGATTACATTTCTAAAGAGCTTCTTTTGCTCAATTAGTGATAATAATATGGAAAATTTTAAATTTATTCTGTTTCACATCAGTGTACAGCCAAGTTGTGTATTTAATCTTGAATCTGTAAACAAATCCATCTTCATTTTAGCCTTATCCAGTGACCCTCATAGTATAAAAGAAAAAGAGTGACTGTTTTCTTTCCAGAGTTTGCAGTTTCTTACATTAATCTTTTAATTTACAAGTCTGACAGTGAGGTTATGTGGTATTAGAATACTAACAAGACTGAGAATTGTAGAAGTAGGATGTTGTGGAAGAATTTCATAAGAGCTGTAAACTCCTCTCAGAAAGAATCCTTGCCAGCTCAACATGGTATCAAAACCTATACCATGGAATAACAGTATGTAAGAAACTGTTAATTCCTTTATAGATCATAGTTACTTATCTTGACATTATGATTCCTTGTCTCTTAAATTTTACTCTTACTTTAGGTTTTCAATTCTGTAATTTATCTTTTTTCTTGAACAAAAGAAGATATTTTGGTGTATTGCTATTCAGTAATAAATTATTTTAACAGCAAATTCTGTAGCACTTCCATTGAAAGCTACATAAGATTGCCAGTGTAAGAATATGGATAAGAATTCTTTAAGAAAAAAGTAATACTGAAGAATATCCTGGATATTGTAGCCATCAGAAATACACTCTTGGCTTTCAAGTATCTTTAATAAGGAAGTGAATTTTAGTCAAGATATTACTATGTAGCCAGCACTTAATCCCATATATGAAAAACTATTTCTACTTTTTTATTTCATAATTTGAGCTTACTTTTCGAAGTAGAATATGTTTGCTTCCTTAAAAATGTTGCTCCTTTTTGATTTTGAAAATGTTGAGATATAATTTGAGCCTATATATATGATAGTTGCAGGAAATGGTTTTATGCTGAATGTACTGTTTGTAATACTGATAATGTTAAGAAGAGTTCTGAATGTAAATTTCTGAATATACACACGGAGTGACAGAGCTACAATTTTTAAGGTACTGATGAATCTTCGAAACCCAAATTATGAAAATGGAGAACATCCTAGTTTCAGAAATCATCTGGGGCTAATTCAGGTTCCTCTAAAAGTTAAAGATATTCCTGAATTGGTAAGTATTTTTTTTTTCTTACAAGAGGTTTCTGTAAGAATTATTTTGCCTTGCTAATGAATAAGATTCTAAACAGTAAGGAATAATATTAGCATCATGATAAATTTCTCCTTTTGAAAGTGAAAATCAATCTAAATATGTAGTTAAAACACAGACCATAAAAAGTTTTATGAAAAGATGTATTTAATGAAAAATAAAACATAAACAGTAAATTATCTGCTAGTAGGGAAGTTTTCATTTTATGCCACATAGGCTTGACTTCTGCCAAAAATATGCTTCTGTACATGTTATTCACTTTTTTCTGTACAAGGAACTTTAAATACGTAGTTTATCTTAATTCTGCTGTTTTATTTAACACTCTACAAGATCAGTAACGTGACAATCAGCTGGCTTCTGATTTTCTTCTCAAAATAATTTAAAATCCCTTTATTGCCAGATTGTAACTGAAAGGAAATGCTCAGGTACTAGTATTGTAATTGGAAAATAGGAGACCTTTTCTTGATGCTTCACTGATAAGGCTCTTGAGGATTTTATGCTAGTAGAAAAACTTGCGCCTTGGTTGGAAAAGAGCTGAGAATTAGAGGTCCTTAACCTGATCATCATTCACCACTTAATTACATCCAGGTGCAGCTCATGGTTGACATGAAAACAGGCATATGACTGAAACTAGAGTAAATTCTTTTCTTTAAAAATATGAGCTCATATTAAAAAGAAGTACATTTGGCTTAGAAAATATTTGCATTAAGCCTTTTAGAAGAAATCTGTAATAACTTAGAGAATTAAACTTGTTAATTGCTGCTTTGTGGTTTTGTTTCTTTTCAGAAAGAAGACTTCAGTGAACTCGGCTTAAATATAGGACAGCTGGGTATTGATGATTCAGCACAAGTGCCTCCTGGTTAGCTAATGATATGCTTCAATCATTTAAACAGAACAGTAGTGACTAGAATACTTTGCAATTACCAAATAACTTGTGTTTTTTCCCATAATAAACCATAAATATTTGTTCTGTAACTATGATTATAGTGATTTCCTTAGTAAAATATAGCTAATAATAGAAAACATTGCAAATATGAAGAATCAGATTTGGAGAAGATTTAAAATCATCAACTTAAGTTGCAAATATGCTCATTTCGGTGTGTTTGAACACTTCAGGGTCTAGAGAAACAAATTGCCTGTCTCCAAAAATAAAGAAAATATCAATAAATGTTAAGCCAACTAACAGATAGGCACATACATAAGCATCTTTTAAATAACTGTCTTTAATAAAAGATTATGAAATTATCCAGACAGTATTATTCAGTAGCTTAAATAGTGCATAATTTCTGTTGGCTTTCCACGTATGCATTGATTGTTGTAGAAACGGGCTTTTTTAAATGGTCTTTCCATATAAAAATGGAAAACACTATAGTATCAAGTGATTTTTTCTTTTTAAATGGAAACTTACCCAGTTGAAGGTCTAGGTTCATGTAATATAGTGTTGCTTTGGCATTTGTGTCCTTCAGACAAGAAAATAATCTGTAGTATTATTTCTTCTTAGTTTTTGGAAAAGAACTTTGATGCTCATGCAGGTTAGTTTTTAGTGACATGAGCAGTAAAAATCAGTTGTCTGTAGTGGTGTATAGTAAAAATATAAAATTACTAGCTAGAGTATCTTTTTTCATTTATATTTTGCCATTTTTTTCTATTTCTTTATATTGTAGAGTTCTTTGAAAATGAGCATGTACGTGTTGGACAGAAAGGTATGGATCTGTTCTCATCTGTAATAAACTGTGAGTAGTTAGGAATGCATTTATTAAATTTCTATCTCAATTACTTGTACCTCAGAGAATTTTAAGAGTTTTGACAAATTAACACAAAGCATTGTCAGTAATACCACTGTGATTTAGACAGAAAGGCAAGTATTTGCAGTCTACCAGTAGCTGCACAGATAATTCATTTAAAAATGAAATAGGAAGCACAGAGATATAACTTTTTGGTGATAACTTAACTTATGCCACTACTGAATTTCATTTTAAAATCAAAATACTCTGGACTCCCTACTCTGCACACAAAGTTCTCATTACTGTAATGGGATTTACGCATTTGCGTCAGAACAGAGTCTTTTAATGGCTATTTGCAATTGCAGAACTTGCTAAATATTGCAGTACTTACCCACTATGGAAAATACACTCATTTTTCTCTGTATATGGCTTTTTCTGAAGAAGTAAGAAATAACCTACCAAAGAAAGGGTAAGATAAAAGGAATAATCATTTATCAGCTCGAATTTGCTGATAGAGAAACATATAAGGGATGTTTGAAATCCAACAGTATTCGCTTCTTACATGTCATACAAGGAGTGGCTGAGGGAACTGGGGGTGTTTAGTCTGGAGAAGAGGAGGCTGAGGGGAGACCTCATCGCCCTCTACAGCTCCCTGAAAGGAGGTTGCAGAGAGCTGGGGATGAGTCTCTTGAACCAAGTAATAAGCAATAGGAGAAGAGGTAATGGCCTCAAGCTGTGCCAGGGAAGGTTTAGACTTGATATTAGGAAGCATTTCTTTACAGAACAGGTTGTTAGGCTTTGGAATGGGCTGCCCAGGGCAGTGGTGGAGTCCCCATCCCTGGAGGTGTTTAAGAGTCAGGTCACATTAGCACTGAGGGATATGGTGTAGTTGGGAACTGTTAATGTTGGGTTGATTGTTGGACTGGATGATCTTCAAGATCTTTTCCAACCTAGACAATTCTGTGATTCCTGCTAAACATAAACATCAAGGAAAAAAAATAGAGTAGATAGTCCTGAAAGTCCTCCATCCTTTTTTTTTTTTTTTTTTTTTTTTTTTTTTTTTTTTTTTTTTTTTATTTGTTACAGCAACAAAACGGTGATGTTTTTTGCTTACTACTACTTTTGCAGTCCTCTTTCTATCCCCCATAAGTTTTCTGATCCAAAAGAAACTCATTAGGGTGCTGTTCATCTCTCTGTTCTTTTCCTGTTCTTCAAAATAAACTCCCCATCCAAACTTCCTGAGCCAGTCATTCAACTCCACGATGTAATTCTTACTCCTCATCTCTTGTTTGTGTAGAGTAGCCTCTATTACAGAGATTGTCTTAGCTTTTCCTATATGCAAAGACACAACATTTTATAAAAATGTAAGTTAAGAGTTTTGACCATAAGCTAAAATCTCTGTTCATTCAGTGGGAATCCTACTGCATACTCTGTTGGGTGTTGGTTATGACTTTGGTTGACAGTGATGTATTGATTTTGCATTTATATTAGATGTGTTGCCAAGTCTGAGGAATTTTCTTCATTGTATTTAGTAAAACCCATCTTGTACATAGCAAAACTACTTTTTAATATTTTATGTCTCAGAAAAAATAAGGTAAACGCTCATGGACACTGAGATGAATCACACTCTTTTCTAAAGTTTTGTGGGGAATGTGGGAATGTTTTTTTTCTTTTTGCCCTCTTCATTTAGGAAAAAGCGATCACACACCATCTGTGTTAGAGCTATGCAGGATAAACAGAAGATTGGCAGATTGGTCTATTCAGTATTTAAGAAAAGAGGGAAGGAAAGAGGAATCCATTAAATGGATTTATAATTCCAAACCTCATCCTTCTAAGTCATGTCAGAGTAGATATTGTGAATATTGAATTTTAGTGAAATTTAGAAAAGTAAGTGTTTCTGAGAGACTTCAGAAAACTCAGAGGATATGGATTTGGAGACTTCTGAGTACCAGTACAACACTGATCTAATGTCTAGATAATGTCACAGAAATATTCTCCCAGCTGTGTCTCTGTTGGGAAAGACATTTGAAGTATGAAGGTATGGTTAATCACATAACCTTGATGGGAAACATCACTTATACCAGATTAGGATAGCTAAAGAGGCATGTCTTTCAAATTTATAGATTTCAGTAAGGAATGACATAATCTGCTGTAAGGTGTGTATGCTACTGTGTTAGGATGAGGTCCTTGTGATAAAGCAGCCTAAAGCTTCACAACAATGACCCATCTAAGCAAACCTGTCAACAGTAGAGTATTTGTTTTATGTCATTCTGAAGGAAAAACAACTTGAAAGTCTTTATCCTCCAGAGTACATATACCAATAATGAGAGAACATGACAGTACACTCTGAAATAGAAAATTCTTGTCCCACAGTTATCTGTGAAAATATTTGTATAGTTAACATAAAAATAGGGGAGACACAAAAAACCATAATGAGTGGCAATTTCCTATTTGCACTGTTTATTGAACTATTTCATAGTTAAACAGGAGTGATTATATACAGCTGCTTGTTCTGCTTGATGCCAGCCTACTAGCTACAACTAGCCTTGAATAATCATAGGTACATACTAGGATGATACATACTAAGGGCTATTTTATCACAGAAGGTAGTACAGTTTTGCTTATTAATCCTGAATGCCTTGTTTCCCAGGGAACTACTTCAAAATTGCATGTGGAAATCACACCTTTTAGATATTTTCCCATTAGCTAATGCTTACAACATGGTAAAGCAGTTTGTAAAGTTAAAAATTAAGGTATTTGATAAACTTTGGAAGTCTTAAACTACATCAGTTCTTTACATGCATTGTTTCCTACAGTTCTAGCAGAGCAAGATAGTGCTGCAGCTCAACAATATGTTCGTCAGGGATGTCCAACAGCACTTCGAGCTGATCTGTGGGCCCTCATTCTCAATATTTCTAATCAGCCAGAGGTAAGGAGCAAAGTGAGAATAAAATCGGAAGACTAAGTGAAAACAGAAGTGCAAGCACATATCATCTAGTGATTCTTTTCCAAAGTAGAAATGCTCTACTCGGTTGTCACAGAAACTGATAAACATTTTATGAGAAAAATACACACACCTGTAAAAAACTCTGTACTCTGGTGAAGGCTTTTAGGCTCTTCCCTAATTTTTTAACATGAGCAAAATACTGTAGAATAAACTTTTCAGTTGATCTGGCTAGCTCCTGAGTTTTTCCTATATGGTGCTGCCTTTTTCACAAGGGGACAAGAAAAAAGCCCTGGGAAGAAGACTGAACCTCTTTTGTCTCTTATCACTTATCTCCTGTCCTTGCTGAGTTTTATAAAAACATGATGTGCTATATCTTTTTCCTGGCTATTTGAACCTGTTATTGTATGCATGTACATATCTTGCAAATTGCTCTATATGTTACTGCATATTCTCTACATATGTACAATCAAAAGACATAAAGAGGAACTAGTAAGATGTGGATTGTTTTCATAGTACCTTATATTTGACTCCAGTCCTCAACAATGAAATCTTTTGCAGTATCTGGAGCCATGCAGTAGTCAATATATCTAACACAGCATAAAAAATAAAGTCCCTATTTAAATCTTTGCAGAATTGTGACTACTTCGATGCAGGGTTTTTACTGCAGTAAAAAATAACCTGCATACATATAAATTTGCTCATAAATGTGGGAATTTTACAGTATCTCATGTCCTTTGGGGTTGTAGCCATTTTTCTTGTAATATTGGAGTATTTATTGGTAACTACATCATAAAGTCGTAAGAGCTTGCCCTTAAAAACAAATGTAAATCTTGTTCATTGACAGCTTACCTAAGGAGTTGAAGTTATTTGGTCTGGCATTAGAATTACTTAGTTTATTTTTTCCAAAATAAGAGGCTTTTGTTTCCTGAAATTCACATGGACAGTTTTCAACAGTTACCTTTTTTAAAGAGGAACAAGCTTTGTCTGTCTATTAATGTATTTGTCAGGCACACTTCCAGACCCTTTAAAAGTTAACGCTAGTTTATAGTTGTTTTTAATATGTGTTTATACTGTGCATGGAGTGTGAATATGTCAGATGTTCTCAAAACGTTAGTCTCTGCTGTGAGAATATTAATTTACTGTTAGGTAAAGCTAACACCTTGAGACGTTTTTCTTGCATATACTGAATATACTGCGTTATTTTTTATAAAGTACAGCAAAGCAGTTTTCAGATACATGTAGCTGTTTTATGATCTGCTGTATTTCATATAGACTTCACTGGTTTACCTATCACATCTTTCCTATATTGTTTCTCTGCTGAAGATGAATTGTGTTGTTGCAGAGATCTCTTGCTGTAATATTTCTGATCTGCAGTTTAGGCTCTATTATGTTTATAGCTGTATGAATCTGTAACTCAGAAAGATCATGAATTTCCTTTTGTTAATGTAAAACATTGAGGATTTGGTATGGGCAGCATTGTGTGTGTTAGCATCCAATATTGTTTGGAAAATTTTATTCAATAAAGCTTAGCCTCTGGATTAAGCTATTCCACATCCAAGCAAGGGATGATACTAGCACTCTAGTGTTGTAATCGTAAAAGTGATAAACTGTAAGATCTATATGCAGGATTATTTAGAAATGTGTAAACACATTTCCTGGCAATGAATTGTTTATTAGTGTTCATTTGTAATGGTACGTTTTAGAGAAACTGCTTTAAAAGAGCATTTTTAAGGTTGCAAAGTCAAACATTTAAAAGCTGAACAGTGTCGCAGTTTTGTATTGTCTGTGCAAACAGTCCAATTTGCTGTGTATATATATATATTTTTTAACATATGATCTTGAGTCAGACAAGCACAGTTTTTCCTGTGGGATATCTGCCTCATTGATTACACAAAATGGATGGCACACACTTACCGAGAATCTGTGGTGGTTTTTTTTTTTCCTTCTGTTCAGTGTGTTACCCAATTGTTTATTCACTGCATACTATTCAAGCAGTGCTTAAAAACCAAAATTGTTCATTATTTTATATGCTTTTTTCCTCTACTTTTTTGAAGTTAACAGGTTGAAAATCAATCTTAATTCTGAAAATTCCAGCATGCAGAAATTGTTAATGCTTTACTATGGCTTTTACTGAATATAATTTCCTATGTTTAAAAAATGTAATAAATAGGTGAGGTGGTAAGTTCATAATGGAGCATGATGTACCTCTTTGTCTTACCTGTAGGGTTATTTAGATTAAGATCAGTAGCTGTATCATTTAAATAACAAAGAAGCCAGTAGCAGTAACGCACCGTCATCGTCTTTGACTGGAGAAGGATGTACTTTACAAGTAGATTTTGCAGGTGTCTGGTAGAATGAGAGTAAGTTTTGGGTCACCTTCCAGGATTTGCCAGGAGGGACTTTCTTTTGCTTTTTTGTCTGTTATCTCTTTATGTAATATGTTCACTTTTTTGTTTTGTACTTGTTTCTGGTATTTCTGTTCCAAAATCTACAGCTCACCTAATTAATGCTGGTTGCCATTCTTTAGGCTTCATCCAATTCCCACAAAACTTAATGTCTCCTTTCTAGACTCCCCAGTGTCAGTCTTTCTTTATATTCCTAGTTCTATGCTTCAACCACCCATTTCTTGTATTAGAGAGGTAAGTATTGATAGATGGCACAATCAAATTACAAGGATGACTGTGGTGGTTGAGGCCCTGCCAGGACCCGAGACCACGTTGCCGTTGTCCCTCCCCCACCCTCGGACTGGACGGGGCAGGGAGTGAGATACAAACTCCGGGGTTGAGATAAGGAAAAATTTAATACAACAGTGTATTGGAGAACGACTTGCAGAGAGCAAGGCCATAGCTCCCTGCAGGAGCTGGTCACAGCCACCTGAGGTAAACAAAGGAAAAAACCCAGGGTACAGTTATGCTAACAAAGGACTGTTATGTTAACAAAGAGAGAAACTGAGGTACATTATGACCTTGGGGGTGATAGAAAACAGCCCTGGGAGAAAAACAGGCCAGAAGAGGGAAGATGTTTATGCACACCTGAAATACCACAAGGCGCTGGATATTATAATGTAGCTTTTACATTTATCCAATAGATTTGTGAGTAGTATGCATGATTATTGTAGAGTGCTTATATAAGGTGTGATTTCTTTCAATAAAGTTCAAGCTCGCTCTATCATTCACATTGAATTGGCTGCTTGCTTCCTCCGCCGCCGCAACAGTGTAACAAATAATAAACCAAACAATAACAATAGCAATAATAGTAACAATAAACAGTAATAGCAATGAACAGGACAAGAGATATACAGAGATATACCACAAGGATACAGCAGCGAAGGGGAGCAACAGCCAACAAAACTGTCCCTGCTCTTCCCATGCTTGGGCGCCTGGACCTGACATCAGCAGTGGCATTGAATAACCCAACTAGAGCTCCCTCCCCACTGCTGAGGAAACTTAACCCTGTCCTAGCTGAACCAGGACAGTAACCTAAAAATTAATCATGAGCTGCCTACAGTTCAGCAGTGAGAGTGCAGCTCCTGTGCCAAGGATTTTGTGACATGCCACAGGTGGGCTGTGTCTGCACAGAGGTTGCTGAGTAATTAACCCTTAATTTTAAAAGAAGGTAAATCACCAAATGCTGCTTAAACTAGATTTTCTGGGTACTGCTGAAATACACTGTTCTCTCTTGCCTGTGAGCTACTTTCAGAGCTCTTATGGTCTCAGGTGCATACAGTATGGGGTTTTTTTAATGGAAATTTTGGTATGTGGCCTTGTAAGGTCAGGAGGGCTGGGCGCTGCAATCCTGAGAAGTACTTTGCTTCAGCTTGGAAAGATGAGTATGTTTAGAGGTGCAGGATAAAAAAAAAAAAGTGTATCTTTTGAGAAAAGTTACTGTCTATATAAAAATGCAACACATTAAGAAGTTAAAAGTTTACAAACAAGGTTGCATTAAGGTTTGACAGACAGAGAAGAAAGGTTGAATCAGATGAAAATGGTAAGATTTTAGTTTCATAAATTAAAACATTTCAGGCTAAGAAACCAACCACATTTCTGGACACTCCTGAAACTTGGTAGTTGTCAGTTGTCTTGTCTGGCTGAAGAAATGCAATCAATAAAATAGTAAAACAACACTTGAATGTTTTTTGAAGCCTGAGTGAGGCTCTTAAAAACATTTCTCACTGTGTGAGGAAAATTGATCACCAGGTAAAAGGGTCATGTGGCTTGAAAGCAAATCTGTGACCAATCTTGTTTATGATTCAGATAAAAGGAATAAATTTATTAATACAGCATGAATTACAAGCCTCTTGTCTTACTAAGAGGCATGGGCAAGATTCACTTGTGGACAAGTTGTGTCTAAGAAATGGGAGTGAGCCCCAAGCCCTGTTTTCATTTTGCATCACAAGAATCACAATTTAAGAGAAAATGAATGACAGTTAACTCATTAAAACCATTATTCCTAGAATGGTTATGACTGGTTTTGCATTGCATGTCCCTTTTTAATAATTTCTGATTTGTCTCCCAAACTTTTTCTTGTGAGTTCTAGTTCAGGTAGACAGCTTGGCCTTCTGGTCTTTTTACTAAATTGTTTAACTGTTAAAATATTTAAGTACCGTTTTACTCTCCTAATATTTGCAATGTGAATTTGCTATTAATTTTTTCAGGGTAGAGTTTTGAATTTTGTTTGAAATTTTAGTTCATGCTGAAATTATAACAGCAACAGCAAAAAGTGTTTGATTTTTTTTTTTTTTTTTTTGAGAAATGAGCAAGTTGGCCTAGTGGGTTTTCATAAGAACAAAGGAGTAACTATTATTTATGGAAAAAAAAAAGGTGATAAACTGTTTATCCTTTTTATTTAAAATAATACTGAGGAAAGTATTCAACTGATTTATAAAGAACTTCCATTCAGTTTCTGCGAGTTGCTGAAGAATCTGAGAACAGTTGTTCTGTCTTTTAGACAGTGCTCTAAACAGCGGGTTGCTTATTCTTACCACTTTTTTAACTGCTTGAAAAATTTACACCAGTTAAATTAAGGAGGAAAATTGTGAAGAATACATGTTTCAGAAATTGTACATCTTGTTGGTTAAGATTAAGTAGTTCAAATCTCTTTTCTAACTCAGGCAATATTTGCCCTATGTCCTAATAATCGGATGTTTTTTAAAAATTGGTACACAAGTCTGAAGGGTGGGAAATGCAAAGTTTACTGAGGTCTTTGCTAAAACAAAAAGAAATTTTACAGAATGTTTTAAATACATATGTCATTCTGGATTAGCAAATAGCAACTACTTTGTTCTGATTAAACTTATTTAAATTTCAGCAGTTTTCTGTTTCCTTCTGTGGAAAATACTGTTCACTGTCTAATGTAACTTACACATAACTGCAGTTAACGTGATTCTTTACACTTCGATTAATAATGCAGTTGAATTAAAACATAGGAAGCTAGTAACGATCATAGTTCAGTATGATGCCATAAACAAACCTGCACTGAAACTAGCACTCTAAAGTCATTATGTCAGTACCGTAGAACATCACTTTTTTTCTTGTACAGAAATGTGTTCTTCAAACATTCAGTGAAGTCATTCCTTGCGTGCCAAATCACTAAGTCTATTCTAAGTGTGATTAAAGCAGCAGCAATTCTACATAATGCTGAGTTATTCTGACTGTTAAGATGAATGCACCATGTACTTAAGTGATTACTCTTTAGTTGTGGTTTTACAGTAAATTTAATAATAACAGGGAAATGGACTCTTGCAAGCAAATGTAAAATATAATTGAATGCTTCCTAATTCAGGAAGGAAAAGGATAGTGCAAAGTACTGAACTAGTGATAATGTTAACTTGGGGCTTGGAGCCACCGTGACCTGAGGTGAAAGTATCTTAAGAAGAAAACTTGTTTCTGCATATAAAGTGTGCTCTATATGTGTGTAGCAAAAGATTACTCTCTTCCTTCATACTGCTGTATTCTCCCACTTCCAAACAGCCTTTCGCAATTGTTCAAGGCAGTTCTAGAGAACAAAAAAGAAAGAAGGGATAACAGAAAACCGTGAGTTTATTAGAGTCTCATTTCCCAAGTTACAACAGATTAGTAGTTGCATTTTCTGGTACCATTCTACCATTTCTTATGCAGGAGTACTTCCGTGTACAACAGAAAGAGTTATGCAGTCTGCTTAGCATGAAAAAGAAGAGGGGTTTTTATTAGCTCCTGTTGTAATATGTACAATTATCTGAGGTGGAAAAAAAACCCTTTAGAGGTTATTAATTTGGCAGTGTTACACTTAGCTAGATTAGTTAGTGCTGATGCTTTACAACTGTGACTTGAATATTAGAGTGGTTCTCTGTAGCTTTTAAGAAAACAGTGATACATTTATACTGCTATTAATTTACATTTAGTAAATACTTGTGTCTGAGCCTTCATAAAGAAAGATTGTGCTATTTATACCTGTCCTTTCTATTTCTTAGGAAGTAAAATGTAAATAATTTCTTGGTGGTAGATATCAGTACTTAATAAATACAGCTTTTGTCTTAATTTCAATTTAACAGTCTAATAATGTGTTCATTCTGATAATTCCTAAGTGTATAATATTCACCACTTCTCAGTTTTGGATTGATAGAACAGTTACAATGTTCCCTAGCCTTCTCTTCACTTTTTTCCATTCTCTTCTACTCAAAATTTCATCTTACTTTCCATTTGTTCTTTAAATCCTTACTCCAGACTTACCTTCTTTTGCAAAGAAATTGTCAATAAATCTATGTAAAGCTTGGAATATACAATCATTTGTGTGGTGCTTGTAGATACACATTGAAATCAGAATAACTTTGTGAAGTGGGAAGGAGCTTTGGCACTGCTGATTTAGTTTATAAAGTTATTCCATTTGAAACTGTGGTATTCAGTCTGAAACTCTGTCGTTCAATTGTAGGCATAATGACAAAGAAGTATTTAGGGATTTAGGAACAGCATCATGATTGTGCGATATTTAATTTTTTGTTTCCTTTGCAAGCTCATTATAAGAAGAGGTAGAATAAGCAAAACAGAGAAGTGTTTGTTCTGATACTTCCCCATCTTTCCATCCTTGTATATGTTCTGTAGAGTTTCAGGAAACAATTTGAGTTTAAAAAAAGGTCCAAGTCCTTTGTATTCTTCACAATATTTTTGTATATATTTATAGTTGCCTCTTTCCACAAAATTATACTACTTAGATATTCATATTAGATTAATAGCAAGTATTTGCAACAGCTTACTAATGCTAGAAGATATGACAGAACCTGTTAATGGAGAGGTGCATGAAATTATAGGTTAGCAAATTTAAAAAAAATTTAATGATTTTGAGCATTGAAGAGGTTTTAGCTGTAGAGACCCAAAGATTGAAAGATACAGATCTTTGATTTGAATTAGTTCCTTCATTCTCATTTTATTAATTATCTAAAGGGTAGTAATTTTACAAAGTCTCAAATATCTGCCTCATTTCTTAGGGATTAAGCTAGAATAAACAGTGATAGAATACTTCATAAATTATGCAGTGGGTTTTTCAGCTGAATACAGTTTATGATTTTCTTGATTTTTTTTTTTCTATTTGTTAAAAATTGTTTAGTTTGAATATAAATTAAAGTTATATCTCAGGCTGATGATGATAATATTTTTAATTTTAGGATATCTTGTATTATGAACAGCTTAAGTCAAATGTGATTCAACACGACCTTTTAGTGGACAGCCTGATTTACAAAGTAAGTGATTCAATAAACAGTGATTAAATGATTTAGATACTCATCACACCAGTATCTTGTTTTTTTAACAAAAAAAAATGTTAGATGGTCTAGCTTTAAGGAGTGTAACGATAATGAGTGTGAATTTATTACTATAACCTCTCACCTTGTGCCCGTGTTGGCTCTCCTGTAGGATATTTGTTTGAGTTTGAGCTTTTAAGTCATAAAGAAATGCTAACTTCATTTGAAGGAATAACTGTTTTTGCAAGGAAGAAAGCACAGGAGTCTGAATGCTTCCATTTCAGGTTTCAATTCTGAACATTTTAATCATCAAGTTAATATAGCATATTTTAATTTTAAAATGTGGAGTATATGCTTAACTACAGCTCTTTTGTGGTTCAATGGTGAAACAATGTCTTCTACCACTGTGTTAAGTTTAGCTTCTATGGGAGTCTGAAAAGATGTCTTTCGGCTTCAAACTGCTGTATTTTTTGATTACAGGATGTAAAGCTGACAGCAAGCAATGATGACTACTATTTTGTATTTGAGGATTATTTATATCAGGTATGTAACTATTTTTTTTTCTTAGAAAGCTAGAATGTATACTCCTGGGGGATTATATCATCTTTGGTATAAGGACTGCCTTTGTGTTTCACGTGTAGGCAGAGTATAGTAGGACTCTAGATAGCATGTGTGCTGCATTACATATACTTTCTTTTCCTGAATAACAACCCTTTAAATTAATCTTGTACACTTAAACAGATTAATCAGGACAGGCTTCTAAAAATCCTACTCTGAAGGACCCTACACAATGTCTTTCCAATGCAATAAACCAGAAAATACGCAGTCAGCCATATTCTTCCCCCTTCCAGCTTTGCAATAATAAAATGATTAACAGCTGTGGCATACAGATAAATTAAGACTTGACAAGTATATTCAGGGATACAGTTTTTAAAGAAACCCAACACATTGCTTTACAGTGACCTAGTGCAGTAAGCATAAAAGATACTGTGTTGATGTATTTTTAAATTGAAGACATTGATTCTGAATAAGGTAGTGATATGTATGGTTACTTTTAGGATTGCTCCTATTCCAAAGATGCTGCAATGGGATTCCCAACTAATCTATAAAGAATTATCTTCATTGCTGCCTGTCAAATGCCCTTAAATAGAAGCACATTACATTTATGAATTTCCTAATGTGTAGCTGATTGCAGTGTCAACATAAATGTCATGCAGCAAATTTACCATTTCCACAGTGCTTTTAATTTCATTAGTTGCATCTGTTAGGTTAGACTTGCTTAATTTTTTTGTTTTAGAGCTATGTGACACTAAATTATTTCTTCTTTGATGTAATATGTAAAATTGCGAGTAATTTAACCAAGCAAGAAACTCTCCTTTATGCTGCTTAGTCCATATAGGTATAAAAATATGCATTACTATTTAAGCATACTATTCAATCATGTCTGCATATAAAATTTTAGCATAAGTATTTAAACATTAATACTTAAAATTATAACCTCATCAAATTATAGCCTTTTTTACTTAATTCCAATTTTAAGATCTATATCTGTATTCGTTTTTGAATTAAAAGTTGAAAAGTGACTACATAATGGCAAACACTGATACTTATTCACTAAAATATTTACATGTAGACCTTCTTTCTTGATTTAAGGGTCAAAGATGATATTCATTATTGTAACAACATTATCTCTTCAGCATCAGGTGTGAAAATCTCTTTTTTCTGCTTCATTCATTATATGGATTACTTAAGGCATATTAGTCCTTAACTGACAGTTCCAGTGGACACAGGATTATGAAGGAGTATGAACTAGTATGATCTGTTGTTTTAAGACTATCAGAAATATATTTTGTTCATTATTCTTAATATATAGCAGAGTTGAATATTTTCATTTTTTATATATATATATATATATATTCAATAAAAGAATGATTACAGAATTAATATCATAATAAGGACTAAACTATCCTTAGTAATCTGAAGCAGAGTCACCAAAAATCTTTGAAAAATTAAGTGCCTAGTTTTACTGTAAGGCTTTGAGCACAGAATATCTCAAACTTCCAATTATTAGTTGCTCTAGTTATGTTTGATACTGAGTGGTATTTTTCAGACTCTTTTTCTAAAAGAACATTATCCATTTTGCTTGATAATTTTCTCTTCCTACCTAATTTGCAAATACACTGATGAATAATTTTGTTATGTGGCCTCTGGAAAAATTTTGCAGTATGAGTCACTCTGACTTCATATGATAACTGGAATTAAATATTGGCTAAATAAAATAGGTAATGAAAACGGTATTTTAAAACAGATAAATTATTTCTGTTTGCACTGGGTTTGTGGTGTTTTTCATGACTAGTTATTGCCTCTGAAGTTTTCCAAGTCATTGAGCAGTGTGGCATTTGTCTGTATATTACTTAGCAGATAAAGTATCCATCAAAACCAGAAAATTTGGTCATAAAACAATAATGAGGATATTTGGTTGGATTACTGGTACCTCTTTAGTAGCATGCGGTCCTTTTCAGGAGGAACACTGTGAAATAATGTAATTTATTTCCTTTAATATCTTTGTTTTCTTCATCCCCAAATGTACATGTTTTTATTACTTCTTTATAACTATTGAAATAGAATGTGATTACTTTTAATATAGTAGTTTCTTCTTGAGAAAAGCTTTGGTTTTGTTTTTTTGCTTTTTCTTAATCCTTTTAATTCAGTTGTTTTCTTTTCAGTTTTGATTATAAATATCCAATAGTTTGCCAAACACTTCTGTACTTAAAAAGGCGCTTGTGCCATTGTTTTCTTTTTCATTATTGTTTTTGTGAATGAGAAAAATAATACATTTGTGAATTAATTATTTCAGGCTAGAGGTTCAATGTGAATACTTTAGTTTTACATCCTGCATAACGAATACATGCAAAGAATCTTACCTGGCAGTTTTTAGGTATAGTCATTACTTACATTTGAGCTAGTCTCTCTCTTAAGAAGATGCATAGTCTCAATTTAAAGACTTCCAGATACTGGTACTGGACACTGTATTCCTAAAAAAGGGGACCTCAAACGAAACAAGGGAAACATTCTTTCCCCTATGAGAGAACATAATTCATGTCCTTTTTAGATCAGTTTCTTTTTCTTTCACCTCAGTTAACATATACAGAGAATTTTGTTTGCCTGTGCATTGTTATTGTCAGCTACATTTTGGCAGCTGTGAAAATGATTGTGTATTGTGCAAAAATAATATTTAGCTTAAGCTGTTCAAGATAAAGAAACTATTTTTTAAAAGATGTTTGTATCTGAGAAATTATTTTTGAAGTTAAAAAGAGGAAAGCCTCTCAAAATATGACCTACTTTCCATAAAAAATAAAAAAAGGCAAATGACGTTCAGATGTCACAGTGTTTGTTTTACATGTTTCCTTTTGACAAATCTGGTATCTGGAAAATGTTTGCAATAATTAGTTGAAGGTAAAATCCATTCATTTTTATTCACAATAAATTATGATGTGAAACACCATCTAAAACATTTCCACCTTTTATACCTTGACTACAGCTAAAACAAAACCCCAAATTCTTGAAACCTACAAGCGAGAGAGGGTTTAACATATGCAAAAAAGTTAGCAGCAAGTTGAAGTCTGTCTTACTTCTGCCCTCTTGTGTACATTCTTGATAGTGCAGCCTTTCATTGCATGAAAACAGGAAAATAATTTAAAGTATAACCACATATAGGATGAGATTCTTTATAATTATTTTCTCGGAGTGCTTTTAGCATTTAATTTTATACTCAATTGCTGTGAATACTAGATACTTCATTTGTGTAAACAAAAAAAAATTACAAATATGTTTTACAAAATACAGTGTGCATTTCAGAATTTATGGATACAAGGTGAACGTTATAATCTGTGCTTTTTGAAAGAACTGAATATTGTGCGAGCATTCTCAAAAGTTCCTAGGAATTAAAACAAATTTAAGGATCGGTCTTCTGGAACTGCATATATGCAAAAATATAAATGTTTCATTTCCTTATTCACTTACTAGGACTTCCCCAGGTCATAGTAACTGAGCAGAAAAATAACCTAATAGACATCAAAGCAGCCGGTTGCATGCACAGTCACTAATGATGGGACAAAAAGGAATAAACCTGTGCTGAGAGGCAAAGAGGAGGGTTGGAGAAGGGGGGGATATTTTACTGACAACAAATAAATGTGAAGGTAAAACCATAACAAATTCAAAGTGAGCCTGGAAATTTGAACAGGAAAGTAAATTAAGTTGGTCAAGAGATTTCAACCATATCAGCTTCCTTCAGTAGCATCTAACAGGTGCTAATTAAGGCAGGTCCTTACATCTGTTTGACATTGCTTTGTTGATCCAGTAAGTCAGCTGATATTTAGATGCTGTCTTTTCTGCAGGTATTACTCTGTTTTTCCCGAGATACAGCTGTATTGGAGCACTTCACTTACAGCAGTGCCACTCCACCCAGATCATACATACGAGGTAAAAAAAGTTGTTTTAAAAAAGATTGTATAGAATTTTGTTGACTGCATTTAAAAGAATGTTAATAAAAACTTTGTGTATCCAGTTGACATCTACGCAGATTCTATTATGACAGTTTAGAAGTTGATAAGATAAAGGCCTCGTTGCAATGTTGTTCTTTTACTGTAGTTTTCTGTGTATAATTCTCCAGTGATTTACCAAAATAAACACACAACTGTGGCAATATGATAAAATCTTGACATCTGTCTTCACCAGAGCTAGAAATTTAAATACACAACTTTGTCCTCTGCAACTTTCTAAATTTTTTTGTTCCTACATTATTGCTTTGTAGATCTCTTCTCTCCCGTTAACTGAATTAGGGAGTTTTCTTTGCCTACTTCTTGAAACAACCAAAGGGCTCACCTGAGAGCAGAACAGCAGTGGGGTTTCAGTCTCACTTCAGGCACAGAGCCATGGCAGTCCAGAAACACAGCTGTGGGGAACATTCTAACTATTCTTAGACAAATCTGGGGAGTGAAGTTGCTGAAATCTAAATCTCTGCTGAACCTATGCAGTGTAAATCCAAAAGGCTTGTAGGTCCTATTTTTGGCTAATATTCCAAGAGATGTGCTTTATGCTAAAAATACTCTCCTTCCAGATTACATCTCCCTGCTGCACAGCAAGCAAACTATTGAAGGGAAAAGTAAAAAATATTTTGTAGTTTAATGAAAGAGCCGCCTTCTGTAGTTGGAAAATACTGGATTTTATTTTCATGGGTTAGTAGGCAGGAGCTTCCCAGGGTAATTTTGAATTTAATTAAATTGATCCATGCTACAGGAAAATATCTATGTCCAGATTCCATTGCACCTGACAGAAGTTCCCTGTGCTACATTCTTCTGTGTACATCTAAAGGATCTCTGAATATTCTATAAATTTTCACATAAGTAATTACATTTTCTAGTTAAATTTTCTCATTTTAAAACTAAAATAATTACAGGTTTTAATTAGTTGTAACTATGCTTAAAAACATTTCCATATTTCTAAATAAATTGTTACTTTTTGGTAGTGGATTTTTAGTTACTAGGTTCTATAGTTAAAATACAGTTAATATAACATGTTCATTTTGCCGGGAAGAGAAGAAGTTATATGGTCAGTCTATACTATCAGGTTGTCTTGACTTAATTAATCTTTTGTATCCAACATATTACTTAAATTTTTTTTTGTTGTTATATCAAAACTATACCATCCATCTTCCTCTCTGTTGTAGGCTTAATGAAGCCTTGAATATGTTTTTAATCTGTTCTTTTATCTTTTTAAATGCTTTTCTTTGTCCCTCAGTCAGTCTGTCACAGCATGGCAGACTTATACCCTTAACCTTATCCCCTCACAGAGCTGCACTATCTTCAAGGTCTCTAGCAAACACCTTTAGAGCTCCTAAGACACATCCAGATAAAATCTCTATTGGATAGCATTGCTGAAATCTTCCTCCTCTTTTTTGCAGTTTTTCATCCTCCCTTACTGGTGCTGCATTTTAGTTTTGTATCTGACACAGTGCCTGTCCTATTGCATTGCTTGCTTGTTTTAGACAATATCAAACGGTCAACAATATAATTAGTTATGATTTTTGTAATTATAACTTAGAATCTACCTTTTAAATTTAAATCTTTACACGTTTTAACAGTTTAAGCAAATTTTATTTGTGGTTTGATGATTCACAGGAAAACTTGGAATGGAAGAATATGCTGTTTTCTATCCTCCAAATGGTAAGAATTATACTATTGCTTCCTCTTGTGGTAGATTAGAAAGATACAGGATTTTTTTCTCAAATACATAACTTCTTTTTCTATTACAAATTACGTTTTGCTGTTACTCTGAAAAAATCATTAATTTAAAGGAGTAAGCTGGACTGAAGCTATTCCAAAACCACATTCGGCCTGGTGTTAGTAGTTACATACGGAGTTTGTCTATGTGTGTGGGAAGGGGAAGGAAAACAACTTCTGGTGCAGCAGCTTGTATTCTAGTCTTGTTTCACCACTTAGAGTATCTGAATGATAAGTGCTGAAACTGTCTGACCCCCAGCTTTTCAGTACTCAACAGGCCACACCTTGAAGTCTTTTCCTTCCAAAATTTATGTTCATTTAAAAAATTCAGCCATAAGTACTCTATATTAAATTTTAAGACAATATCATTGTTGTTACTTCAGTTATTAAAATTCTCCTTTTCAGCTTTTATTTTGACCATTTCAATCTCTGTCTGTTGAATCCTTTCAATTTTTGTGCTGCATTTGTATTTTAAGTTTAAGCTCTTTGCTCTTGCGTTCAAGGCCTTATGTCACCATTCTTAAATCTGTGCCTCTGGCCTTGTCTTTTACGTCTTCTGTGTTCCAGTGGTGTCAGTTGTAGCACATACTTTTGTTCCCTCTACTTCCATTTTTGTATCTGCAATTCTTTGCAGGTTTGTAGCCATGAAGCATTGTCCTTACAACCTTTTGCCAAAACAGCTTCCTCTTACTGATCCTATATGAATAGGAGCTAAGATAAGCTGGAAAGGAGGAGAGAACTGTCGTGATACAACTGACAAGTCCTCTAAATGTTTCATCTAAGAATTACTAGAAGTCTTGGCTTCATTTGTTCCTGCTCCCTCCTTGTCAGTGCATGACATTTATGCGTTGTCATTTATTTGAAATTAGATTCTGATTTCAGCAAAGCTTGTGTGTAATAACTTCATGGAAATGGAGCTTTACTTGGCTTTTGAGGAACTATATAAGCATGTAGTTGGTTGTACTACAAGTGATACAAGTGATAGAATTACTGCACTTAAATATTTACAAGATTGAGATCTAAGACTGCAGATGCCATAACAAGGAAATATTTTATTCCTGCAGTAGGCAGAGAACAATTTAGAAACTTGGGGTAAATTACAGTTTTTTAGATAGATAAAAAGAAATATAAAAGAACAAAAAAAGTGAAATATTTTTGTTTTGTAGGTGTAATTCCTTTCCATGGCTTTTCTATGTATGGTAAGTGTAACTCAAACTCTTAAGACTTTAGGCTTGCTTTTTATCATACTGCAGTTTAAAGCTGTATGTACTTTTCTGCAACTTTTAAAATTGTGTGTATTCTGTTTCTTTGTGTATGAAGGCTGTTGTAAATAATTTTTTAAATTCTAGGCTGTTCCTATTTACTTATATTACAGCTCACTACCATATGAGAGTTCCTTCTTTGAGAGCTAAGAGCTGAGCTATACATCTTAATGACTATGAATAGAGGGATAGCTTGTTGACAGAGTGCACTTTTCTTGTGTTTCACTTCAGAGTAGACCAGGCTACCTGTGAAAGGAGTTCTTAAAAACATGAATTCTGTGAAAGGCCTGTTGCTGCATCCATTTGCCTAGAACAGGTGTTAAAGGAGCATTAAATAATAGAATGGTTTCTACTTTACTGCACCAAGGAAAGCTCAAATATCAAAAAGATTCCTGGGAAAAGCAAATAAAAATCTCCTCATCTCTCAGATGTAACAAGGCAGCCAGTGTGGAGATACTCCAGCAGTGTGGGACTATTTGTTACAGCTTTTCAGTTTTCTAACTTTATCAAAGGTGTCTGTGGCCTCACAAAGCAAGCAAATTTTAAGATTATATTTAAAATGCTATGTTTTGTTAATAAGAAAGTTTAATGACTACACGCCCATTAAAATCAGGCGATTTTAATATGAAATGCAAATTCGAACCTAAGTAGAAATCTTAAGTCTTCGAAGTAATGAACAGCTTAGTTACAAACTGTTCTGTAGGTACTCACTAGGAGTCTAGCACTTTATGTGTGAAACTTTTTTTAAATGTTTGGATTTGACTCTGCCATTAAGAACAGCATCTCTCAAACTGGGTGTGAGCTTCTTCCCTCTCTCCTGTCCTCTCTCTTTGCAAGGGTCAGAATATTGCTGGTTGTGAGGAGGAGGGAGACTGAAAAGCAAGGTAGCAGGAACGCAATAGCATAACTCCAGGCTGTGGGTACGGTAGCTGGGACCAAGCAGAGCATCCTTTGTATTCCATGTTGTGCTGCTATAGGAGGAAGTATCTGGGGCCTTATGTAAATACTATATACTTTTGCATGTTTGCATGCATACACTCATAGGGTGCCAACTGTCAGGTACTGTTCTGTTATTCTCCTGGCCTTTATGTACATATGTACACTGACAAGTCTTCCACCTCCATCTTCAGTCATTAAGAACATATGCACTAGTAACACCCTCGGCTTTTCTTACCCCTATGTAAATACACATTTCTGTGAACATCTCACCCTACCTTAGCACCCCACCTCTCATTGCCACTATTTTCTATTAAGCCACCTTCTCTGAAATATATATATGTATTTATGAAAATGAATTCAGACATGCATACACCCATGTATATATATAAAAATACATCTTTGTGCATATGTATACATATGTATGCAGACAAATGGTATCCATATGCCTAGCTTTCTGTAAATAAAACTGGAAGGCAAGGTGAATATAGAGATAGAGACTATGAGGGTGTTAAAATGTAAGCTGTCATCCATAATGAACGCACCTGTAAAACGAAGCAGTAGATATGATGGGTGAACAGATAAAAAGGCTGTTTACAGAAATGGGTATAGAACAACTGTCTGTAAAACATGCATTGAATGAGTAGCAATCAGGGGGAACTGATAATGTTTGTCTATCGTATACATACAACAGATTTATCTATATGCTAGACTTCCAAAAAGTTTGAGAACTGCTGCTTTAGAAATGGAGCCAACTCTTATTTGAATCAGGTGTACAAAAAGACGTCTAAACAGTAAACAAGCAAATGTCCATGGTTTTCTGATCTTCTAAGAAATAAACAGGTCTCTATCAGTCTGTCATGTGATATTACTGTGGCAACCAAAATATTTTTTAAAATATTTTCATTTTCACCACACCCATCTTCAAGCAGTAAGCGTATTCTGGTCTTAAAAAATGGGGAACCACTTTGGAGATGGTCACTAGCGCAAGGGCACATTGGAAGTTACAGACGGTTGAATCAAAAATGTGTGCTGTTCAATATATTGCTGCCCTGCACCCAGAGAAGCTATCCTTAGAACGTACTTTTTATGCTTTGGAAGGCAGCACTGCAGTAAGCAGGCTCTAATTAGTTCAGATTCTTGAAATATATAGAACTATTACCTAGAATATATTGTACTCCCCTTCTTAACTTTTTACATCAAAAGGTAGACTATTATAAAATACTTCTTTCTAAATAATTGGTTTAGTATTGTTTTTGTACACTGTGCTACTATTATAAATTACTTGTTTTTTCTTCATACTTCATGCACTTAACCATTGAACTCTTTTAGCAGTTTACAGTGTTGAGTCAATTATAATTCTTTTATCCTTTCAGTTGCTCCACTTTGTTTTCTGTACCATGAACCTTCCAAATTGTATCAGATATTCCGTGAGATGTATGTGCGTTTTTTCTTCAGACTCCATTCCATCTCTTCTCATCCCTCTGTAAGTTCATTAGGAATTAAAACACACTCACTTTATATTGTTTGCTATGGAACAATAATATCCAGTGGCATGATTTTCTATGCAATTGAAATATATCCTTTTAAATATAATTAAATATTTCAGGCAAGCTTGGAAAAATGATTAAGTAGCTCCAGCTTGGGTATTTTTGTTTTCTACATCAACGTTAGTCTTTGCTATAGAATATGTACTTTAAAATAATGCAGTTCTCATTTTATGAGGGTGTGGGGGGTTTTATGAGAGTTAAGTCTTCTGTGTAATAGGTTTCTCAGTTCAGGAAGTCACATAAATGCATACTCACTTTAATTAATGACATGCAAGTACACACTTAAGTATTTGTGGGGTAGAGGGACTAAAATAGTTGTGTATATATACACACATTGTTTCAGTGATATCAAGTTAATGTCTCTTTCTTTAACTCAAGTATCTTGTGTGACAGCACATGTTTTTTAGCACTACTAGATGAACTTAAATAATTTCTTTATGTTTATGACCAGGACCGACTGCCTTGAATGTAAGACAATTGTAGAAATTGGCTTATGTTCTATTTCTGAAGAATAAAACATAGTAAATATATATATATTTTTTTTATTCCTTCACAAAGTGCTGAATAGTTATATTACTTTTTGCAAACATTTACTGGTGAAAAGAAAATCCATTCTTTGTTATACCATTTCAAGGCTGTGCATTGTGTTTTCTATCATTAATAGCAGGGAATGGTCAGACAGGAATCTATTCATTTTCATGGTAATTTTTAGAAGAAATTTTAAAATGTGTTGACATTTAACTTTTTTGTAGCTATCCCCATTGCTGCCTGGTTTTAGTTATCAGAGAGATACTATTTCTCACATATTCTGTTTTTTAGTGCAACTGAGGTCGATTTCATCAAAGTGGAAATATTTCAAGTAGGTCATATTATAATAACCCACTAAAGACTTAGATGCTGACATATGAATACCATAAGTAACTTAGAGCTGACGGGGACTATCACAACCTATTATGCTGCTAATATATACATAGAATTGTAGCAGCAAGGCTTTAGTGACAAGGTATTAGAGCTGCTTGTGCCCTGCTTACCTGACATGTATATTATGTCATTAATAGTGTTTTGTTGCTTGAATTAAAAATTCGTGCATACTTACATGCTGATACTGTTTTCTCAGATTTGTCAGGATGAGTGTTAGTATTCAGGATATGATCTTGTTTCATTAGGGCATTGTATCATTGTGTTTGCTGTTTGAGACTCTTCTACAAACCCATCTGCCCCAGCTCTTTTATCACCTTCGAGAAATTGGCGCTCAGCCGTAAGTACTTCTTTCTGCCTTGCTGCAAATGTTGCAGATTCATTGTTCTGAAAATGCTGTTCTGTACTATTTTAATTTAAAAGAGATGGGAAACTATTCAAAAGCGCAAACATCAGTGTGCCATTTTTTCCATGAAAGTCAGTTGGAGGCATTTGTCTAACCTGCATATATGTGCTTTGTGCATTTCTTCTGTATGCTCTATGAAAAAGAGAGAATTGTGTTACGAGAAATGCTGCATTATGCTGCTAAGTTGCAGTTATTCATGTCAGATCTGATGGAACTAAGTGTTTTATATCCTACGGGACAGAAGACACAGATGTGTTAGTTACAGCAGAACCTACTGGAAGGGGAGAGAGAGCAAGAGGCTTTCTATAGTGTACTCATGGCACCAAGTGCAATAGAATCTGAAAATCTTGCTGGCATAATTAGTATCCAACATGATAACAGAAAGGATGGTAATAGCTGAGGATCCCTCTAATGTGGTTGTTTGGTCAGAATATTTTAATGATACTAGTACTTTGTCAAATGTTAAATAATTTTCTGATGATTATTGCAAAGGAAAATATTGATTGTTAATGCAGCAAGAGGAAACAGCCCTTCTTTCTGGAAGAGAAATGGAGAAGAACAATGAAATATTTTCAAATTATGGAGGATCTGTCTGATCATTATGGAGACAGAAATATAATAACTGTTGTTTATCACTTGTTTGCAGGCTACGAATTTCATTTAAATGGATGGTACGAGCATTTTCGGGTTATTTAGCTACAGATCAGCTCTTGCTTCTGTGGGACAGAATCCTGGGATACAACTCTCTAGAAATTCTTGCTGGTAATAGAACTATTTTTACAAAATGTGTTAAGTCCAGGTGGATGTAAGGCTTCAGTGGCTGATGTTAGCTTCAGTGTATTTTGTGACAAGAAGAAAAGAGTTGCTCTTTAAATGCTGAAAGCAGACTAAAGTACATGTCAAAGAGTATAAAATTGCGTAAATACTGCATCTCTAATAACAATCTGCGTCTCTTTCTTTTTTATGATAGCACTCCAAAAATACTAAGCGCTCTCTGAACAGAACATAGAATGTTCTCTTAGCTTCAGTGGTGACAATAAATGACTTTATATCTTTCACAAAATACAAGATCCATGTTACTCATTTATGGCAAGTACTTCTTCTGTACTTACAGCCACTATTTTTCTTACCCATTTTAAAGAGCGGCCAAAGAAACTCAAACACAGCCATCCATTGTATATTATTAGTCAGAATCAAAATAACTACTCTAAGGGAGTGAGAATTGATATTTTATCTCAAGATTAATTCTAACCACTAATTAACAGGTCAGCAACTTAAATATTGGTCATTTTCTTTCAGTCCTGGCAGCTGCTGTGTTTGCTTTCCGAGCAGTCAACCTGATGGAGGTGACATCACTGGCTGCAGCTGAAGTAAGGATAAGTTTCAGAGGAGATTGAAATAGTTTCTGATGCTTTGCCAACAAGAGTAACTTAAGCTTCACATGGCACGTGGTACATAGTGCAAATCTTTCTGCCTACATTCTTACCTTAGATAAAAAACTAAGGAAATCGTGAACATGCAGTACGTAATACTGCTTTTCTAGAGTAAAAGGAAATAAGAGTATATTTGCTCCAAAAATGCAGTGTTATCAAATGACTTTGTACAACTAGATTTAACTTATAATCCATCTTTGTGGGATATCTTATTTTTACAATATTGTAGAGGTTTGTACTTTTTTTTCTCAGTATGTTTTAATGCAGTTGCTTCTGTGCTTTATGATATTACAAAGATTTTTACAAGATTACTTCTGTCAATATGGAATCTGAAATTTCACTGTGAGTACTGTCATGGGAAATGAAGAAAGTTAAGTCATTAAGATGTGAATATTGTTGTTTATCTCTAGTAATTTGTTAAAATATATTTTTTTCAAAAATCTTGTGATGTATTTTTTCAAACTTTGAGAGCTTGTGATGACTTTTTTTTTTTTAAAACATACTTTCATAAGAAGACATTGACTATTTGAGTCATTACATTGGACTTACTTCACAAGTACTAGCCAAGCCACAGGATAAGGATTCTTAATTCCCAATTATTTTTAGAAGCAAGTTGAAATGTTAGACCCCTTATTCACCCATGATGCCATGTATATTTGAAGTAAGGCTAAAGGCTAAAATAAAGTTACTTGGTTTATATACGTAAACATATGCTTTTTCTTTGAAATGTTAGAATGAATTATACAATACTACCTTATTGTATAATTCATAAAACAGCATAATTTGTTTCTAGCCAGGTCTGAATCTAATTATTGTTAGTATTGTAGTCAGCATTTGAATATTTTTCTGATTTCTTGACTTGCTTTAAAGAAATTTGATTCAAATGTCAAGTTTAACAAGCCTTTTTGTTTTTTATCCCAGGCTGTACTTGCTGACCTTTCAACCCTGAAAGTTATGCCTCTTCTTCAAATCTTCTTGTTTGCAACTGTCACTTGATCTGCTTCAACAATACTAGTACCACAATTCCAGTCTTTCTTGAGAAGCTAATCATCAACTATGCAATGTCTGCATAAAACCAAAATTAAACTGTATGTATAATATTAATTTGGAAATCATGACTTTAAAATTTTCTAACTGAAAACAATAACTTTGCACATGAGTGTGTGCAGTGCATGCTACTGAATTTCACCATAACAACAATGGCTATTACTTGTATACTGAGAATGACTACTTGTGCAAATAAACAATATGAATCAGTGTCTAAAACGCATGTAATATTAAATTAAATAAAACAAATGTAATTAATGATCCGAGTTTTGTGATGTTAATGTCACAGTTGCAAAAGCTCTTTTAATATGAAATTACTTTTTCAAGCTCACAGCTTAGAGGTTATCAGCTCAAATACTCTCTATTGAGAAAATAAAGGTACTTGAACATGCAAGAATTTTTTTCTCATTTTCTAAGAAAAAGATAGGATCATACAGAAATTCACATAAATTTTCTCCATGTTCTTTCTCATGTTAGCTACTTCTGTTTATTCTTTTCATATACGGAGATGTAGTCACACATTCCCCATTCATCTTTGGTTAGGTATACAGCTATCTCAGGCGCCTTTTGAACTCCTACCCAGCGTCCCTTCAAAGGCCCTGTGTTGTAAAATATGTTCCCCTGCAGAGAAGGCCTGAGCATAGCTTCCTTCAGAACTTGTTGGAGCCAGCCCTTACATGAGCCAAAATATTCCCCTGAGACCAATGCCAAGAGTCCTTTCGAATGTGCCCCACACCCTCTTTGGGAGAGCAGTGCTACGCCTTTGCCAGTTTTCCAGACGCTCTGATTCAACAGCTCAGGCTTCAGTTCAGAATCCAAACTCGTATCGATGTATGACGGATTGTCACTACATAGTAAGGCTGGCTCATCGTCTGTTGGCGATCATACCTTTCTGTGAGGTCTCCCAGCTTTTTCCACTGATTTGTTTAATGCCGAAGTTGGAATCAATAATCTGATTTGATTAAGTGTATCTTAATACCCAAAACAGGATCAAACTCACAAGAACATAATGGGTAATATAGCCACTGTGTTTGCCATAGGACTTTTATCTTTGCCTGATTTACATACATGTAGTTGTCATTTGTCATACATACGGAATGTATGACGGTGAAACATGAATCTGTCATAGCTGGCTCAAAAGTTGCTTGAAAAGTGACCTAAGCTGTAGTCTCAGATAGGGTTATGAGCATTATGTTTGTGATTCTTGTTGCTTCTGTCAGGAAAACATGGTAAGAAACTTAACTTTTATAGAGTGCTAGTAAATTTATAAGGCCATTTTTATAAAAGGTAAAGTTGTGGACTCAGTATGATCAGTTCTTATAAAAAGAACCAAACTGCTTAACAGATGCGATGTATTGAACGATAATATTTGGGGAAATTTTGTTTTGGATAACACAGAAAATTTACCTTTTCCTTAATATTTGTAAGAAATGGTTTTAACTGTTTAACTATAATATTTTCTATGACCTTTAATTTTTAAAAAGAGGACGTGTTAAAGCTTTTGTCTTTACAGAAAGCATTGCTCTGTTTTATATATGGGGAATGAAGGCATAGAAAGATTAAGTGATTTGCCAAAGATTAGAGTAAATTCCGAGAAGTGAGCAGTCTTGCCTCTCCTGAATTCCTCTTTATACTTTGAGATGCGCAATTTGTGTATGAACCACAACACCCTATTTCATCATAACACATAATGCACATCTATCTCTAAAAATACAGCATTTTTCAGTTATTAAAATCTGTAAGGTTAGGTAGCAATTTGGAAATTGTAACGTTACAAAGCAGTCACAAGGATTGTGGCTCAGTAAGGTCATTACAAGGTTACCATGGCTTTTTAGGGATTTAAAAGTACTTATGAAATAGCAACAGAGATTCCCTGGAGGCCTGCTGACCCTCTAATTCCCATTGCTCTGTGTAGGTTCATGCTGCAGAATCTGAACATTACCCTAACTCATTCCATATTGGGATTTCTGAGCAGTATTTTTTTTGGTTTTTTCATTTTCAATAGTTTTGAAAATGTTCTAAGTAGGCAGAGATAGACTTGGTTTCTTGTTTGAACAAGGAGTTCTGTGACTGACAGAATATGGTCTGTTTTCCTCTGACTTGGCATCTTGTTATTCATCCTAACAATCTCGCACCTCCTTTGTGGCACCTCTACCTTCCCCACTGGAGTACTTAAACTCTACTTCTGACCTCCACTCTCCTTTCTGCTGGTGAGTGGACAGGGGGTTCTTCTGCTCTGCGGCTAGTGTGGGCCAGCGCTCTAGACCACCCGTGCTAACTGCCTAGGCTGCCTGCTCCACGAGCCTGGCGTGATGCAGTTCCTCGTGCTTCAGGGTTGGTCAAAAGCTTCTGTGCAGCTCTTGAGCCAGGTATTGTACAGACCAATTACAGCAGCAAATATCTTGAAGATCTCTGCTGCTTTTTGTCAGATGTTTAAATTGACTTTTTTGAGACACAGAAGGATTCACACACAAAGTACAGGAATAATGAGTGTAGTTGCTTTAAAAATTAGATTAAGATGAGATTAAAAATGAACCAGATCGTCTCCTTAGACTTGAACTATACTGTTTGGGTTTTATATTTTTTTTAATCTATTTGTTTTAAATTGCTTTTACTGAAGAGGTGTTTTCATGTTCCACTCAGTTTCTCATTTTAGTTCCAACAAAATACTGTGTTTCAGATTCTGGCTGACACTTGTGTTTTTAATCTCCCTTGCTTAAGTAACACTCAGTTCAAATATTTTTAAAAAAATATTAAAATGACTGGTTTCTATATTACACCTAGATACTTCTCTTGTATACATAGATGGTATCAATTATTTAAGTTTTAATTCTTTAGAGACCAGTTCAAACCCATTGATGCCTATAATCTATCATTTGACTTCCAAATCCCTAAAACTCCTTTTTATTTTTGCTGGTTTAGGTACTGGCCAGATTTTGATAGTAGAATCATATCTAAATTGATAATTACATTGATTTAAACAGGCTCATCTGAACTGTCAATGAGTCAATTTAGCCAAATTCTTTTTCTTGCTCTGAAATAAATATAAACAGAGGTTTCAGTACAAAAACAAATTGTCTCCATATTTATAGATAAAGATCAATTTCTTGCTGCTTACCTCAGGATTCTGGCTATGGTTTGTCAAAGGTTTCGTGTAATGTCAAATAGACTGTTTAAAAAATGCAAAAGTAAATACATTTTGTCTAAAAATGTACCCAAGTTATCTTTGTTCCGTACTTCCAAAAATATATTGAGACTTAAATCTTGATGGCTGGGTAATGGAACAATTGTATAACTAGAACAGTTTCTACTTTTTAGTGGAATTTTTTTGTCATAGTAACAAATTTTATTATGAGAAATGGAGAGAGTATGGAGACTGTAAAACAGTTAGATATCCCAGTAAAGGGAAAAATCTGGAAGGGGACACCAGATTAAGACAGATTTATATTTCCAGAAACCAGCAAAAAAACATGCCCAAGTTTATGCCTCTTTTACTGTCTTCTAATGAATTTTATAAAATTCTTCCAACGAGACTGAAGGCATTTCCTTAAACAGAATTGCCAAACAAAGATCAGTTACAGGAAAGCAATATATAGAGCTGCTTATTAACACTAACTAGGTGTGTGTTTAAAAGATTCTGAAATATATTGCAAAACTGTAAGTCTGTATCTTCAGTGAGGAAGGGGAAGAGCCTTCTGGCATACTTCAACAACTCAGTAAAATATTCTGTCCGTCCAGTATTTCATGTGAGGAAACGGGGAAAGGAGGGGGAGGATGCCGCAGGGGTGGCAGGAGCTGCTGGGCTCTTCCTTTTCCCTCCTTTCCTAAAGGCTGTTCCTGTGCATGCCTGGCTCCTGGCAGATGCTGCCGCACCGCCTGCTTTCATCCCAAAGCTCACACAGGAAAGGCAATTAGCTGAAGCGCGTATTGCGATCAACAGAGCTTTGTGTTTGCACGGCCAGCCACAGCGACCTGCTTCCGGCCCCGCCGGGCTTGCCTGGTGCGCGGTTACGGGCCGGGAATGCGCCGGGGCCGGGGCCAGGATCAGGGCCAGGATCAGGGCCAGGATCAGGGCCAGGATCATCAGGGCCAGGATCATCAGGGCCGGGCGAGGGCCCCGGGGATGGGCGGCAGAGGAGGGTTAGCCAGCCTTCCTGTCCTCCTGAGCAACGCCGGCAGGAGAAACCACCCTGTGAATAATTCCCCCTCCAGATAACCGTATTAGCGATACCGGGTTCCAGAAGTGCAGAAGGACGGCCGTGGTGGGGTTGGTCGCGGGGTTTTTTATAGCTTTAGGACACAGTACAGGTGGGGAAAAAATACCCCTTCTGGAGGCTTCAGGCGTTTAGCACAAGGCCACGCTTGGAGGGACTGCACATCCGTGAGCAGTTCTGCAGGAACCATTTATTGTCGTAAATGCAATAATCCAAGATCCCTACAATCCAGAATAAACTGCTGCAGATTGAAATTATTTTTTTTTTTCCCTCTTCACACATTATGCTCAGCTTTTTCAATACCTCAATAAAATTATTAATGCAGGGAAGATAATTTTGATCCAACAGTGTAACAGTTGTGCTCTGTTTTAAAACAGTGTTATTTTTTTTTAATTAGGCAATTAATAGTATATCTACTAAATGGTGGCCACATAGACCAATTATGCTTTTGAGAAGCATCTTCTGTGGGTGATATACAGTGCAACAGAGTCAGCAGATTTTAAAGGGGATAAAACTAATATATGGTTAGAATAGGATGTTCACCTTCAGTTCACCACACTTTGTAAAACTGCAACACACGAATGGTTGTAACGCGGTGTAACTAACTGTGCTAAATATTGACTGGGGATGAGCCTTAAAATTAATATGGGGGAAGAAGTACTGTCTTTTGCCAAACATTTTTTTTTTTTTTATTTAAGCCCTGAGAGGTTCACCTGATTCTGTGTATTGTCAGGCATTGCTGGTTACAGAAAGTGAACTTCAGGGTCTCTGAAGGAGGACTAGTGGGGCCTCTATTTGCCCATATTTCAAATGTTGTTTTAGATGTTGGACTACTGATATGTGCAAACAATTATCTCTAGAGAATTGGCTTTATGGAGGACCATGGTGCTTTGCCAAATGACATTGTGTTTGGCTGAACAGTTTGAACAAATTGTTTCTTTTGGGATTATGACCAAAATAAATGGAATATTTAACAAAGGAGTTAAAGCTCACAAGTTGTGTAAGACAAAGCATGCGACCAATTTCTGTGCTTTGTTTTAAACA